GGAAATTTGGCAACGTCCAAGCCTCATATGGCGTTTCTCCTTAGCATGACAGAATAAGTTGCAGTCTGAGACAATGCACATCAAAACAACAAAGCCACCAATCTACGTAAGTAGATAAATGATAATTATTATTTAGAACCTCTATCATTTGAGAGCGTTAATGACTGTCCAATGATATGCCATTGTTTGTAGGTACGTATACCCGCTAATTTTGCAATAAGCGAGAAAACCGCGTGAGGAGGAGAATTCAGCGTAAAATACGAAGATATGCTCTGAACGTGTGTCGGTATCATAAATGCAAAAACATGCTTCCCTTTTGACGTAGGGCTGCTTTTATACCCAAGTAGCAGTGATTGCGATAAATGGCGATTTTATCGGTTGATTATCGCGATTATATAGGTGGCAATACATCGAGATATCATTGCATTAAAAATTGCGAAATATGGCGATTAAATCGCTATTTATCGCAATTTTTGGTTCGAAAAAATCGTGATCACTTTTCGTCGATTAAATCGAGATTAAAATCGCCAATCGAGATTTTTATTTCGAACATACCGCGATAAATCGTCGGGAGATAAAAGCGCGATTTTATCGCGATAAGATAGAGGATAATCGCTCAGATGTTGATGATCCTGGCGATTTTACCGCCGCGCCGATTAAATCGCGATATATAGCGATTTTTCCGTTGAGGAATGCTGCTTGGGTATTTAAGAAAAAGAGGAGGAAAAATTTGAAAGCGGACTCGTAACTGATAAGGATTTGTACTGGTTTGTAAGTCGCATTTTTCAGGGATTGATCGTCAGCATTATCGCCGTTGAAACTTCAAAATCACGTATCTCAGTTTGCGACCTTGCAAACGTCCTATCGTATTTGTTTTTTTTGTTTGTTTTGTTTTTTTTTTTTTAACGAAAATATACTCAACGTCAATTCATAAAGGTTCCGTGATTTTTCTCCTCTGTGAAAAATTCAAGAAATGATGTTGATTTGTTCTTCTCCAAGAAAATAAAATGAGAGCGGAACTAACCACGTACCTCCGTAGCGGTGTTTCAAAATTCCCGCTTTATTTTTTAGATGAGAAACAAGACAACTTCAGAGCTTATTGTACAAAATATTCCGCTGGTGGATCGAGAGGAAAAATCAAAGAAGTTTTCAAGAAATTTTTTTGATCAGTTTCCAAAAGAGAAATTTAAGTATGACAGGAGACAAACAACGTCCTGAACAAGGCCGGATTTACCTACTTGCCGCCCATCCCATGGGCCGCCTGTATTTTGCCGCCCTCTTCTCATTCATTTTGAAACATCCATGAAAACCATCAAGTGAACGTGCCGGAGGGAGAAGGGTGGCATAAGACGCGTTCACTTGTGTTGGAGACACTTTTTGCGTAAGCCCTGTCAACACTACTAGCAAAAGTTCACGGAACTTCGCGCGAAAGTTCAGTTCCGTAAACCTACCTCTGTGTGGACAATCCTTTCATTTGTAAAAAATGAACTTCAGAATTAAGAAAGAACAAACATAAATGTGGTTTAATAATTTTAACTTCCGCCGCCGTGCCGCGCTGACCACACTGTTTGGCGCAATGCGTGAAGTATTCATGTAGTCTTGTAGGCACTGTGCGTTTCACGCCGCGTCGACCGCTGTTGACCTTACTGTGTTTGACGCAATGCGTGAAGTATTCATGCAGTCTCGTAGGCGCTAATATGTGTTACATGCCGACTGCCGCGCCGAGGGAGGGCTTCTCCTCTTCATCTCAAGCCCTCGTCATTATTTATCTCTGCGCCGCGCCGTTCCAGGCCAAATTACGTATTTGGTTTCTCTCTTAACTCAACTAATTAAAGGTGCGCAGTCTTTTGTATCACCGAAATACGACAAAATTAGAAATTGATGAACTCTCAGGAAATGAGAGATTTCGTCACCTTTTTTTTTGTTTGTAATTTTATTCTGAATCTGATTTTCTTGTACCTGCATTTAAAAAAATTGCAAAATTTTCCGCCCCTTCATTTTGCCGCCATGGGCCACGGCCCATGTGGCCACCCTCTTAATCCGGCCTTGGTCCTGAACGGAGTTACGTGGTTTCGCACTGGTTATCATTATACATAGAGGTACCAAAATAGTGAATACCTGATGGAATTTTACACTGTTTTTTTCATTTTTTATTTTGCACTGATATTACTTAAAAAGTAAAAATATATTTGCTCTGGGTTTGAAGAGAGCCGGACATATTGCGCAAAATAAGTCTCTATACAGTGTCCTTTTCTTTTCTTGCAAAAATTTTATCATGTTGTCTTCCAGACACGCGAAATTCTAGGTAATTAATGTTTATGAAAACAAGAGGTATATATGATACATGCTTATCAAAAATTAGGTACTACTTTTGCGATCGTTTCAACACTGTTACGCATACACACTCGCAAACTGAGGAATAGTCGTAATAAACTCGCGCTGTAGCGTGACAGTAATTCACTTTTCCTAATAAAGCACCTGGAGTAAGTATGCGAATTAATACGTTGAGTAACTTCGATTCTGCGGGAAACGCTCACATTTCCAGTATTTCGTGCATCTAGCTAATTTGGTGCTTTTTAAGGGCAGTGTTCGTCGCAAGGTTTTTAATTGGTTTACCAAAGAAAAAAAGTGTATTTCCACAGTGTTAGTCCGTAACCATGTGTTTGTTTCTTCGCTCCTATTTTATGTTTTTAAAATAGAAGAAGTCGACATCATTCCTTGAAGTTTTTGCAGAATTTTCTTCGCACATAGAAGAAATATCACTGCGGCGCAGCGATTGTTAAGAATTACCGTTGAGTAGTTTTCCATTTAAAAAATAAAGCCTGGCAGGAAATCTGCAACGTCGCAAAACCGAGATACGTGGTTGCGGACTGACATTGTCGATATGGCTGTCTCCAGACGGTGAATGATGCATAGTGATCGAAAACTGTCTCAATAACTTTGCATCGTTAAGTGGGCATTAGGCTGATTTTAGGGTTATGCATAATGTCCAAATGAGGGGCTTGGTGGACAAAGCACATAGGTGCAGTTTTTGCCATTTCAAGAAATACTTGTTTAAAGTTTCAAAATTACATGGAGCTCTATGGCAGATGGGAAGTTTAAGCTCACTTTTTAATGCTTTAAAGTTGGTTTTTCGTGTGAATTTTTCACATAATATACTTTCAAATTAGTGTTAGTTAAGTTCATGAATATCTCAATTTTTTTCAAAAACTGCACTTATGCGCCTTTTCCTCGAATGTTTTAATGGTTAAAATATTTTCTTTCGAGTTCGGATATCAACAGTGGATGGAATTTTCGACTACCCAAGAGGCACATATTGCAATAAATTTCAATTACATATACAGTAAAGTTATTGCTACTGCATTAGAGTGCTGTGTATGTTGCCTGTCCACTGATTGAAGGCACACCGCTCGTTGACATTTATTGCCATAAAATTGAAAAAAGTTTCGATTTTTCATTGAACAGCACATTACTTATCTTTTTGACACATGGAACTCACTTTGTTGATTGTTAAAAAGAGGCATTTATTGATCAAATGAGAGGCTTGGAAGACAAGGCGCATCAGAGCAGTTTTTGCTATTTCGAGAAACACGTGTTTGAAGTTTCGAAATTACAAGGATCTTTATGGCGGAAAGAAAGTTCAAACTGACTTTTTGACGCTAAAACATTGGAATTTGGGAGCCAATTTTTCACAGAATATTCGTTAAGAGTAGTTATTTATTTGAAATCATCAGTATCTCAATTTTTTCAAAAACTGCACTAATGCACCGTGTCCTCCGAGCCCCTCAAATGAAGTAAAAATATTGCGATTTCATTGCGAAAAAATTTCAATTTTCATTGCAATACATTTAAATTTAATATCAATATTATCATCGTACTGTGCTACTTGAGTAGCTGAATTCAAATTTACCCCCAACTCGCCCCCTTCCCCCGAATGCACCTACGACTCAGTTAAAACCGGTTCAAGTGATCCATTCGTACATAATTGAACCGAGCTTATTATCAGAGAAGAACCAACCCACATTTTCGAAAAAATTGAGTCAAGAAATGTTTTCGAGTTTCACTCGTCGCTTATTTTCTCCTGCCAAAATCTGGATATCGAAAGAAAGAAATTAGTTTGTGAAAAGAGGGGTTAAATATTATTTTTTACAATGAGCCTCATGCAGGAATGAAACTTATTCAAACCTCTTTTTCTCAGTTTCAACTTCATGCGGGTTGGTTCCTCTCTGATGAACTCGGTCCAATTGGAACGCGTTTAGCAGAAAGGAACCAAGCCACATCAGCTATTGCCAAATTTAACTGGTCAATTTATCTTTTAACAAGAGAACGTTGGTGCAGATTCGTTTGGAAATTTTAAGGCATTTGCCTCGCACTAAACAGAAAATTCACTGAAATTTGCAGTAAAATCCGCACAACCATTTTTATGTAAATAATTGAATTGCCCAGTTAAATTTGGCAATAGCTGGAGTGGTTTGGGTCATTTCTACTTAACACCGTCCAATTCTAAATGCTTAGGGAAGATCTTCGTATGAACATTCGAGAGTTGCCAAATTTTCTTTGATAAAATGTTTATTTTTGAAGAAAATTATGAATATTTTTCCTTGAAATTTGTAGACACTTTAGATCAAATTACAAAAGAAATTATCTGAGAAATTGGCGGGAAAATATTCAAAAAAATTCCTGAAAATAAGTGATTTGCAGCGAAAATTTGGCAACGCCTGAAAGCTCATACGACGTTTTCCCTAGCACGGCAGAATTTCGAGTTGCCAAATTTCGTTGGACAAAATGTTTATTTCTGTGGAAAATTATGAATATTTTTCCTTAAAATGCTCAAACCTTGCATCGAATTACAAACAAATTTATTCGAGAAATTGGCGGGAGACTTCAAAAAAATTCCTGAAAACAAGTGATTTGCCAGAGGAAATTTGGCAACGCCTGAAAGCTCATACGGCGTTTCTCCTTAGCACGGCAGAACTAAGAATATGGTATAGGGCACTGACCTCTGAATCGATTGGAGCTTGATTTAATCCACAATTCGAAATTACAGCGATGGAGCCGAGTTGGTTGCGTTTAGGCGGGAGCAAGCGATCGGAACTTTGGAAGCTGGCGCGTCGAGTCGCGGACACTGATATGGACGTTATCACGGACGGGACACGGTTGCGGCGCGGCGTGGACGTGCGCGGAGGTGGTGGCAAGCGGGTTGCGGGCTGCGGGTAAACTGAGCGTAAACAGAGACTTGGATCCGAGTTTAGAGCCCACCAACTGGACAACCTCAGCTCAAGTTCGAGCGGCCGCCGACTCCGACCCGGCTCCAAATCGGCCACGTTGCCACGTCGACCTGAAAATTATACCTACAGTCAAAGTTCGTTAAGTCGAACGACGCTTATGACGAAAACCCGCTTAAGTCGAAATTGTTTTCGGTCACGGGGCGCTCCCATAAGGAACAATGTTAAAAAAACAGCGCTTTAGTTGAATTGAAGATTTTTCGGGGAAAAGCCGCCAGTGGCGTGGCGTGGCGTGAAATGCGATGTATCAATTGTTATGCCATTTAAACTTATGGTAAAGAATCGATTATTAAGGTGTTCGCCGCGAACACCCTGTCTATCAATCCTTTTCCATAGGTTTAAATGCATAAAAATCGATATATCGCAATTCACGCCACGCCACTTAAAGCCGCATATGTCGAAAATTGTTTCCCAAAAACTGGAGAAGGTTCCGGTTTTCACGAGAAAAAACGTAGGCTGAAATGAGCAATATTGACGAAAGAAATGTGAAAAAAAGATTTGTGGTTATGTGCCTTTATACGCGAAGGAAGTGTAGAAGTGACATATCGACGGTGTAAGTCGGCAATCACATAGGTAACTCGTTTGCGGTGTCTGAAAATATCCGCCTCTATGTTACTTTTTTAAAGGAGAACAAATTGACATCATTCCTTGAAGATTCCTCATTCCTTTGCAGAATTTTCCTCGCACAGAGAAGAAAAATCACGGGAGTTTTGAAGAATTGCCGTTGAGTAGTTTTCCGTTTAAAAAATGAAGTTATGACAGGAAGTCTGCGACGTCGCAAACCGAGTTATGTGATTGCCGACTTGCACCATCGATATGTTGCTTGATAGGTTTAAAAATTGCTGCATTTGGTAGTGTTTTTTTTTTTTTTTTTTTTTTTTTTTTTTTTTTTTTTTTTTTTTAAGGTTTTTCTCACGTCATCCCTAACTTCACTCTTGATTGAGATAGGATTAAATGTAAAAAAAGTTGAATAAGGAATTTTAAAAATTTCAAAAAATTAAAATATTAGAACGGTTAAAAATTTAAACAGCGCAAAAAGAAATCATTAAAAAAAATCATTGATTTTTGTTTCAATGTAGCATTCCCGATAGGAGCAATGATTCTAAATTTTGCAGGCTGGCTATTGCATTGTCATGCAATTTTTACTCCCGAACCGGACGAGAGTATGTCAAAGATATGCACAAAGATAAAACAACCTCATAACTCAATCTACCATCTGTTGCATCATGCGTGCATCGCTGCGTGAACACTCGAAGTGCCTTCAATGTTTTGTGTATGCAACACGGGCATCCTTAGCGCACGAATAGTTGCATGAGGACTATCGAACCCAAGCACGTGTCGAAAACCTTCCAATCTGCTATATCCTTCCAGGCGCTGGCTATATATAATGGGCCACTAGACAATAAGGTATGAGTTGAAGGACTACATGGCTTACTTACAAATTAACTCTTTATCAGGAGAAATTTGGCAACATTTGAATATTCACACGACGTCTTACCTTAGCACCGCTGAGTATGCATCACGACACAAAAAGGAACGAATCAGTCAGAGAGGTCGGACAGGATTTGGACCGATTCTGCAATTTGGGAACGGCACATACTATTTCTTGATCATTCATAAAAGCACTTTTCTACACACAAAAACAAATGGAGCTAACGTTGTTCCTAAAATGAGCCAGAAACAGTAGTCCCTAATTGCGAAATGTTGTGCGTGTAAAAACGTGTTGTACATGTCGGTGATGGCCTGCATCTTCGTTAATATGGAACATTAATGTTTAACAGTGCTTTCATAGGGTTATTCGCTAAATTTTCTCTGCGATAAACTCCTGAAATTGTACAATGACGAGATAAACATCAAAAGTTGAATTTTCAGTCAAAGATTTCAAGTCTCAACGGCTCGTCCCACTGAGCGCCACGTGCAACGCTGTGAGAGCATAAAACGCCAAGGCGCCTTCAAATTTTCGCTTATGCAATACGGACATCCATAGAGCACGAATAGCATTGGAACCACCGAACCCAACCACACAAACGAAACCTCTCTCAAGCTACAATGTTCTTTTGGGTGGTGTGATGAACGGCGGCTCTAAGGGTAGGAACCTTCAATAAATTCCCTTACCTAACGGTGGCAAGAGAGTTACATTACTTACTGATGCAGCGAACATTGAACAGCACGGCAAAGGCAAAACGCGCCTTTGGTTTTTCGTACATGCAATATGGATGTAATATAAATAATAGTATGTCTTCGACATTCCTAGGTAGAAGTTTGACGTGTAAATGTGACCCTTGCAATCGCATGATAAAATATCAACAATTAGATAAGGGTACACCTCCGATTGTAACGTTACAAGAATCCACTAACTTTTTTCTTTTCTTTTTTTTTTCATTAACCATAGTGATTTTTATTTTACAAATTTTCCGTGAATTTTGTACACGCATTAAAAAATAAGAGGAAAATTTCAATGAGATATTTTCGTTAGTTTTCCATCACAAACCTTAAAAAGTCTTAGCTTTGGTGAAAGAGAGGGGTAGCGCTACGGGCCGAAGTCGGCCCCACCCAACAGGGCCAAAACCGGTCCCACCATGGATTTCTCTGCGTTTTTTTTTTACGTTGGAAGTCTGTAACAATTTAATAAAATAATTGGTTTTAGCCGCGGACATCGAATCCTCTCAATAAGATATCCTGCTGTACTACCGTTCTAAGAAAGAACGCCGTATGAACATTCGAGAGTTGCCAAATCTCCTCGGATAAAACACGTATTTTTGAAGAAAATTGTGCATATTTTTCTTTGAAATTTTCAGATATTTTAAATTTAGTTGCGAATCTGACATATTAGAGGAAAAATATTCAGAATTTTCCTGGAAAAGTCTTTTTTATAGAAGGAAATATGGCAACACCTGAATAATCGTACGGCGTTTTCCTTAGCGCGGCAGTGTAGGTAATAAAGATGTAAATCTAGGCCTGAAAACCGAATATACCCAATTTTCGTGTGCGTGTGTCTTTTTTAATGTAATGGTGTTAAAAAATTGGCAAAATTTTGAGATAAGAAATATTTCTGACACATCCATATCTGCATGAGGAACCTAATAGCAGTTCGTTGTTTCGAAAATGAGCTAGAAATAGTGGTCCCATAGTGCAAAATAAAGTCCAAATCGACGGTGAAACTACCAAACCACGTATCTCGGTTTGCGACGTCGCAGACTTCCTGTCATACTTTATTTTTTAAATGAATAACTACTGAACGTCCAGTCTTGAAAATTTCTATGATTTCTCCTCTTTGTGCGGAGAAAATTCTGTGAAAATTTCAAGGAATGATATTTATTTGGTCTACTTTAAAAAAATAAAATGTGAGAGTAGATTTTTAAACACCGCAACCGAGATACGTGGTTTGGTAGTTTCACCGTCGAAATATCACCTTCGATCGAACGAATTGCAGTTGCTCGGTCTGCAATCACTATCTGGTTTCTTTCTTTGCCTTGTCATCGTAAATTCATGATTAACCAGGTTGCAGTGTCATACAATTTCTATGAGCCGGCGAATTAGTCAGATGCAGTTTATTACAAACTTGACTTTGTGCGTTGATCGGTCAGGACATCTCTCAGAGCTAAATTAGACCGGGCGGCTCCAGAGCCCTTAAGCACAGTTAAAAATAGTAATGCATGTTCTGTTCCTGTATTGTAGGTAAGATCGAGTCATTGGCGGATCCAGCAAGTTGGCAACATTGCCTTTTCTCCATTCAAACCTATGAAAATGTATCAATATTCTTGGAGGGGTCAGGTGCTCCGTCAAGAGTCGATTATTTAGCATAGGTTCAAACGGAGGCAATCCGGTGTTGCCAAATTGATGGATTCACCTCTGGATCGGGTCGATTCTCGTTGCTCTTCTGACGATCTGACGTAAAGTTCGCACTGTAGTCTAAGTACCGGTAGCGTATAGGCTTCAGGAATTATGATCGAAAGATTGGAAGGGAGGTATACTCTTCGAAGGAAATGGGGGGGGGGGGGTACATTTTAATCTCCGCTTTCAAGCCCTTTCTCTCTTTTTTTACAAGGTTGCCATAATTCCTTAATCAAAATCCCTGATTTTTTTGCTTTTCCCTGACTCCAAAAGTTTCTTATTCCTTGGCTCTCCCTGACCTCCGAACAAAATTTCCACCAATTTTTGTAGGTTTTTTTAAAAACGTTGACTCTGGCTAAAATTGAGTATGATTTCCTTGTTTAAGGAACCAATTATGGAAAAAGGCATTGAGTAAAGCTGGTTAAAGATGAAACGCTCTAAAAAAACTAGAAAGGGTAAACAGTAGGAAGATCAGTTGTTTTAATGACTAGTATATGTGTTAAAAATTCCTTGACTTTTCTCACGGATTCCCTGATTTTCCCGGTTTCCGGACCGCTGGCAACCCTGTAATTTTGGTTTCATATCATAGACATTTCTGCCTTACGTCGGGTTTGATTTTCCCTCTCCCCCCTTCCTACGGGCTCCTTTTAGTAGGTAGGTAGCGTAATTCACCCACGGTCCTTCAGCACGTAGATCCGAGCTCCTGTCCATCATAGAAATCCTGTGATGCTGAGAGAACGACTATACTTCTACTCTTGAACCCTGGTAAAAATTGGCAGTAGAATCTGTGTTCCAAAATACCATAGACCTAAAGCCGGCTGTAAGATTTTCAATAGCTTCTATAGCCGGCTGCATAATTTCGTATAGCCTTTTACAGCCGATGGCGATTGAGCAACAGCCAGGCGATAAAGTGTATGCTACATGTTACTAATTACGGATGCTAGGACTTAGTGAGTTTTTGGACTACCGCTCTATTTTTGGGCCGTAGTATCTTGATTTATTTTGCGCGGAAAGCTCCGTACTTTTGAAGGATGCCTGCCATTCCTAATATGTTGGAGCGCCTTCAATTTCATATGATACTGTGCAATACCTCTGGTGTGAAATAGTTTGCTTCAATCGCCGTGGCACGCTGCGGCGCGGCGGGTGGGCAGCCAGCGCGAAAAGCGCCTTAGCGCCTACAAACCTAACAGGGATACTTCACGCATTGCGCCATGCGTGAAGTATCCCAGTTAGGTTTGTAGGCGCTGGTGCGCGCTTATTATCGCTGGCAGCACGCCGATCCGCTCTGTGTTATGCTCCAATATAATCTTGCGGAGTCAACGTTTTTGAACTCATGATTTTGAAATGTTTGCACATCCTGTATGGATTATTCTCATTTTAATTATGAAAAAAAATATGTATTAAAGGAAAATATGATGTGCGTTTTGTGAATACTATGTTGGCTCCGTATCAAACTTAATGATTTCCAAAGCACACGAATTTCTACACAATTTCTTATAGCCTTTTATAGCCGATGGCGATAAAGTGTAAAGCCCGGCGATAGGTACTATAGCCCGGCTGTATACTTTTTTATCGCTTCGTATAACCCGGCTGTATGATTTGATCCGCTTTCTACAGGCAGCTATATGATTTTCTATTGCCTCCTTTAGCCGGCTATAAGAATTTCTATGGTATTTTGAAACGAAGCTCCTATCGCCAATTTTTAGCTGGGAATACTTGAATGAAATGAACGATAATTATTAACCCCGAAAATTATTATTCCCCCTTCAAATTGCCTTATTAAAAAAAAAATTGACAACTATAATCAAACATTAATCTTTATCGGGGTTTGGAAACAATTCGATATATTCATACGTTTTTCCCTAACACGGTAGTGTATCTAAGCACTACCGTGCCACGCGGAGCATTTCTATGAGATCAAGATGATGAAAAGTCAAAACGCCTTCGGTTTTTCACGTATGCAATACGGACATCCAACGGGCACGCATAGCTGCATCGACACCATTGAACCCAAAAAAGCATCGAAAACCTCTCAACCGGCGATGTTCTTTTGAGCGTTATGCGATTGCGGTCTTAAAGTCGCGCTGACTGCGAGGTGATGTCATTAAAAGAGCGCTCTTATAGTGGTGGTAAGTAAGAAAGTAACATAATATTTATATTGATGCACCACTCGTGAGCTGCGCTGCGGGAGTAAAAAATAGGGAAGTGCCTTCAGTTTTTTTGAATACAATACGGACATCCCTTAAGCACGATTAGTTGCATCCGAACCACTGAGGTCAAGCATGAGTTTCGAAGAGATTTCTGTCTACGAAGCTCTTTCGGGTATTTAACGGCAGTTGGAGGGGTACCGCGATCCGTGCAGTCGCATCACGTCGTCACCTTCCGGCCAAAGTATCACAAGCGCCATGCGACGTTTAAAAATTTTCGCAGTCATTTTATTTTTTTATAGAGAAATTGTAGGTTGAATCTGTTTGAAAATTTCACTGATTTGTACAGGGCTGGATTTACCTACTTGCCGCCCATGGGCCGCCTGTATTTTGCCGCCCCTTCTCATTCGTTTTGGAACATCAATAAAAACCATCAAGTGAACGTACCGGAAGGGGAGGGGTGCATAAGACGCGTTTACCTACTCGGGTTGGATACATTTCTTGCGAAAGCCCTGTCAACACTACTGGCAAAATTTCACGGAACTTTGCGCGAAAGTTAAGTTCCGTAAACATTTCTCTGTGTAGACAAGGTTCTCCATTTATAAGAAATGAACCAAAAAATTGAAAGAACAAACATAAATGTGGTTTAATACTTTTAACGTCCGCCGCTGCGCCGCGCCGCGCTGGGCTGATCGCACCGTTTGGTGCAATGCGTGAAGTATTCCTGCAGTCTTGTAGGCGCTACGCGTTTCACGCCAACCGCTCCTGACCGCACTGCGTTTGACGCAATGGGTGAAGTATTCATGCAGTCTTGTAGGCGCTAATATGTGTTACATGTCGACCGCCGCGGCGCCGTGCCGAGGGCTTGTCCTTTTCATCTCAAGTCCGCGTCATCATTCCTCTCTGCGCTGATTGTGAGCTCCAGGCCAAATTGCGTGTTTAGTTCGATCCTCTTTTAACTCGACTAATTAAGGACGATGTCTCTTTTATCACCGAAAAACGATAAAATTAGAAATGACTGTATTCTCAGGGAAGAGAGAGTTTGTCCCCTTTTCTCATTGATAATTTTTTTTCTGAATCCGATTTTTTTTATACCTACATTTAAAATTTGTCGCCCCCTAAATTTGCCGCCATGGGCCGCGGCCCATGCGGCCACCCCCTTAATCCGGCCCTGGATTTGTATTAGCAGGACAAAGAAAACTTAGTGAAATTTGCGGACAGCTTCGTTGAACAATTTCTCTGTAAAGAAAAATAAAAGGTGGCGGAAATTTTTAAACGTCACATGGCGCTTGTGATAATTTGGGCGGAAGGTAACGACACAACGTTCCTTAATTTATATAGGTATTTATGGAAATTTTCTGGAAGTAGGTGCATCGAACTTAAAATAGCCGAACGTAGAATCGGCAGTTGAGGTTTATAAATCTTCCGGGTTCCGGGCAGTTTGATAGGTACTTCTTACCTAACCCACCATTGGGAGGGGGGGGGGTTTGTTAATTTTGATGTCTCGCACAGAAGGCCGATTATTGAAATTGATAGACAAAGCTATGGACAAAGAGAACAAAAGGGATTTATTGGTGGAAGCAAGTGGTTGCAATGGGCAAAGGAGGTAGGTAATAGATTAAGTAAAGGTAATCTACGAGAGACCCTACAGTTAGTGCATCATTTTCTCCTTTAGTCCTTAGGAACCACCCATTTCAACCAATAGGATCGCTCCATACTCCCTGGGTCTTCTTTATCTATCGCTTTGTCTATCAGTTTCAAGTCCGCTAGGCGCTATAATCTCAAAGATCGGCGCCAAGACAGGAATTTTCAGCTGGCCATCCGGCAACACTGTGAGACGATGGTCCAAGAATGCCCACCGGGCAAGCATCCGCCATACCAACGCAACGGAGCAGGAAACTTTCTAAAAACGGAAGAAGCTTTGCTATACACCCCGCGCGCGCAACAGCCTCCAAAATGACATAATCCGGGAACTGGTTTGGCAGCCTGGTCCCCTGCCCGACACTCAAAATCAATCTCACATGAGGCATTGGACGCTCCCGCACGTAGGTCACTTGTGATTCCACCAATCAGGGAAATGCATTGACGCAACGGAGGATGTAAGGGTGACGTCATCTATCACAAGTAAGGATTGAAAGTGAATCAATGGTAATTGACTTTAGACATTCGCGGACCACGCTATGTGGCTCGAAAATACTCTTGAGGTAGACCTGCAGCACTTTCCCACATAGCGACGACTGTTGAAAAATGGTTTAAATATACGTAAAAAAGTGTCTTTTCTCCAGGTTCCAAGAAAAAGGGGGTTCTGTCCGGTATTTATTTAATACAGAAAGTTAAGGCGATAAAATTAGATAAAGAGGTTTTTTCTTCAAAAAAAAAAAACTAGCTTTAGAGATTCGTTGCAGATTTTCAACATATAAAATGTTTAGAAAAAGCGTGAAAAAATGTTTCAAAAAATCACAGGTTTTGTAGAAAGTTTTTACGTAGGCAAAAAAAGATTCCATGTAGCCCAAGTAGCAGTGATCGCGATAAATAGCGATTTTATCGGTTGGTTGTCGCGATTATATCGGTGGCAATAAATCGAGATATTATCGCATTAAAACTTGCGATATATGGCGATTAAATCGCAACAAATTACAATTTTTGGTTGGAGAGATTAAATCGCCATTTATCGCGATTTTTATTTCGAAAATATCGCGATAAATTGTCGGGCGATAAAAGCGCGATTCTATCGCGATAAAATCGAGGATAATTGCTCAGATGTTGATGATCCTAGCGATTTTATCGCCGATAAAATCGCAATATATAGCGATTTTTTCTGTTGAAAAATGCTACTTGGGAGGTATATGACAACAAACACCTCCACTAGGATTCATCTTGAACGCTTTGATTTTTAGGTAGGTAAAGATCAACTGATTATTGGTATGAGGAAAAGTACCGCATGAAAACCAACGGATATTTTTTAAAAAAATCCCTGGAAGTCGTATCCTGTTTGCAGTGCGTCTGCATCAAGTATTAAGTAGTATACACAATTTGATTGGGAAATATTCTAGAAAAGATACTTCTAGAATTACAGTCCGTCCCGGATGAACAGGTACTTATTACAAATCGTTTTGTCTTAGATCGATTTATGGGATTTTCACCAAGGACGTGCCTACTTAAACTTAAGACTCTTTGAAGAAATGGCCTGAGACCCTGCAGTGCCCATGTGACTAATTTTGGTACCTAATCAAGCAGTCATTGCATTTACTTAGATATTTAAAAAAAAAGAAGCCATTGGCGACTTCTTGTATCAGTGAGATCTGAAAATCTTGATGTCTTTCAAGTCCCTCAATTACAAAGATACACTAAACAATGGGACGTTTTTGAGTGTTTCTCAGAGGAGAAATAATTAAAAAAATTGTTTTTGATCTTCTGAAATCAAGTAGGTAACAGATTTCTTTTCATTTGAAAATGAATTTTGCTATTTACTTTGGAGGACATGAGAGTGCAAGGATCTTAACCTGTCATTACCAAGATGCAGGACAAAACAATCAACAAACATGCATCACCTATACCATGGATGAATATATACTAACTAAATATATACTATAATATATAATATCTTCGTCCATGCCTATACTTTCAAAGCAAGACAATGTTTTTAAAAAATGATTGAGTACTTTGCGTTAATCCTTCGCCTCGCAAATATTTCAAGGCTCTTGCCTTACTTTTTGATTCAAATGGAGAATAAAATGGATAGTAAGCATTCATTTTTTTTTTTTTTGGCAAAATAAAGATTTAATCGATTTAGACATATAGTATAAAAAACAATAACATGGAAATACATCTTTACACTTTCCAAACTATGTAACATTGCTTGTGTATTTACATTACTTATTGCGTTTGAATCTTTACATTATATACAATGGATTAGCTAAAGTCATGCAAAACAATTTTTTTTAATTTGACGGACTCTTGGAAGATAAAATCTTGAGGCCCCTCATTTTTCATGAGAACAGAATAAATGTTCCTGAGTCTAAATTCAAGAAAAAAACCTCTTTGCAGGGACCAATGAATAATTTTAAATTTAAACAGTTAATTGGTTTCCTAGTTACTCATAGTAATCTTTTCTGCTCCAAATAGAAAAGAATTGAGACTATTAAGCTCAAATCGAGTCAAAATATGAGGAAAGAAAGAAAAGAAGAAGAGGGCCAACAATGGATTAGAATTCATTAATGCATAGACATTTTTGGTTAAGGTTGGGACACTATAACATTGGGAAAATTAAGAGCTTTTTTCTTTCAGATGCTACTAACAAGATTCCTATGGTAAGCGACAAAGAAATTTTTGTACACAGGTTGTTGTCAGTGCAGAAATGCAACTAAAACTCATGGGCATGCAAAAATAAAGCTTGTAAAATTCAATTGGTACAGCCCGGGAAAGCTACTCATTTCCTTTCAGACAACCTCTCCTTAAGCTTGTCCGGCCCAATACTGCCAGACTTTTCACACTTTAAAGATCGTTTTTTGATGGGCTTTTTCCTTGCTTTTTCTTGCAGAACATTTTCGTTGCCTCTTTAATATCCTTACACCACACAAATCTACTACCTCTCAGATTTTTTTTTGGCTTTGGGAAAATCTGACAGTTGCACGGTATAGTGTCATGTGACTTTGATCATATTTTTCAAGACATTTACAGAGGAAAATTTCAGATAGACCATGCTTGAAAAATGGGTGAAGAGAATGTGTCTGCATTTGATGTGTGATAATCAATATCTTTAAAAAGAAAAGATACTCGATTGTAGGAAATTCTTGTTTTAGGTATTATTTCTTTGTTGGTAAGAGATCTGCTTGTGAAGATCTTCAAGTAAAAATGTACATATTCATTTTAAATCTTGATTCGAAAGTCACTTTTTTCCCTTAGGAACTATTGGAAAATTTGCAAGTCCCTCAACAAATGCTCTTTAACATATCAAGACTCATGTGATTTTTAACCAAATAAGTTCAAAGAGAGCTTGTTTTAAGGCTAATATGAGTAATTCTTCAGGGTTATACGAATCGCATTTTGCATACTTCATTTGCTTGCTCCTACCAGAACCAGTCGTACTACTTTACAGACAACTGATGTAAATAACCCTTTACCTACCTACTTTTACTTTTGCAGAGAGTAAAGTTCATTTTTGGGAATCAATTACATTATTCACAACAACAATAAAATTAATTTACATAAAAGGGCTAATGTTTAAATTTTCAGTTCTGATTAGTTTCAATACCTACACAATTGCAGGTTTTCTTCATGCTGGTTTGTACTTTTATCCTCATAATTTTAGAAAAACAAAATAGACCTGTATTTTCTGATTTGTGATTATCATGCCCAAACTTGCCTTGCCATGCCTACAGACCTCAAACATCGCCGGATATTCCTGCAAAACATTGGGATGTTGCTCCCTGAATTTGGAGGAGGCAAGGTCCTAATTTATAGTGAATGAGGTTATGACGCCTCTAGAGGATAAGTTATAATAACAATTTTTTAACATAATGCCAAAAATTATGACTAAGCGTCTGAAGAGCACAAAAATAGGACATATTACTATGATGTTGATACTGAAAAACATGGCGCTCAAACCTCAGTTTCAAAGAATAGCATGTTCTTTTTAAGAATCATATTATGCATGGCTCCAGACGAAATTCTTTTTTCAGTGATGAAAAATTTATTCTAAGATGATACCTTCATTTCATAAGCGGATTCTAGGCATCATTTTAGGCATTAAATTGTTATTCTTGTGATAAAGTATGGGGAAAAATTGAAAAAAGATTAAATAAATACGTTTAAAAAATTGGAGTCTTTTAGTTCTTCCCTCCTAGTAAAAATCTTAAATGTTCTTCTACACGTAATATCAACTTATCATTCCGGTGGTGCGCTGAGAAGATAATAATGTTTAACATTGTAATGAGCTTAAAAATACTAGTTCCACTCCTTCTTACTTTTCGTCAGTAATTGCGGCCTATGGAGGGCTACGTCAGGAGGTGTCAAATCATACACATCACTTTCTGAATCTTTGATTGTGGAAATTCCGCTGCGATCCTGTTGAAAAAAAATCTCCGGTGACAGACCATTCGAATCACCGGGTGAGGGTGCAATTCCTGAAGAACGACCATTGGGTTTCTGCTTGATGGGGGTGGAGTGTTTTGGAGTGTTTCTGAGATGAGCCCGGCCATCACTAACATCTGATTTTTTCTTCATTTCTGCTGGGCTACTGTCGGAGCTAGAGAGGGAGTTCAAACGGGATGTTTCAGCAATTTTTTTCCACGTAGACAGTGCCCAGCTGCTACCCAAGTTCTTACAGACTTTTTCTAAGTCTGTTGGAGATAAGTCATTTCGAAGGATATTTTCCAATTCTTCGTTAATCAACGGAGTTGAATCAGATTCTGACGTTGTTCCTTTCTTGCTTCTCCTTACTGTTGTATTTTTGTCGTTGCCATATTTATCTTTTAACTCCTTCAGCCATGGAAATGGACTGGATATTAAACCTCTTTTCAAGAGCTCGTCAACTATGTCTGGAAGTTCCGATTCAGTGCTTGTATGGTGACCATCCGAGGCTGATTTCTGTTTAACCGATGGGGAGCCTCGTGATGACTTTTCTAATCTCTTGAGCTCAGCACTGGTATCAGCACTGCAACTTTTACTCAACTCATCTATCTGCTGTTGTAATGTTTCTATCCTACTCTGCAGCAAGGCCTGTTGTCTTTGAACCGTGTGGTGGAGAGAGGTATCGGGTGACTCCTGGGGTTTTCTCTTACTTGGTTTCGATGTGCTTGGACCTTCTTGGAGGGTTGTTTGCTGAGTGGTTGATGGTGTGTCAACTTCGATGATCGTTGAGAGATCTTTTGCAACACGGATGCGCCGATTATTACTGTAAAAAAAATGGAAAACTATTTGTAGATGCAGACTAAGAGGAGAGGAGTTTCTTCTTTAAAGATTCATAAATTTGTAACAGGCACCGGGAATGCAAAGAAAATGAGGGAGAGTGCGATCTTGGATACAATGTTACTTCTGGAAAGGCAAGGAAAGCTTGAAAACTTCCAGCCTTCTATTGTTGAATTGTCCAGAATTTCCTTTAATATTTGGTTTGAACGGCTAGAATGATAAAATATGGAAGTCGAGGGTGCAAAATCACACGATCATCATCGCATGGCCGCTTGCTTGAAAAAATGGGAAGATTATGAAAATTGGGAAATTCAGCTCGTGATAGCATAAAATTCCGCTTTTCTCTTCAAATATCACAGTGAAATTCGCGTTTTTTTCACAAAATTGCGGCAAATGGGGCATACAAACGAGGCCAAGAAAATGATCACAGCTTGGGAAATTATGGGGAAAAAAGGGGTTTTTTAAAGTGGGAAGGCCAATTCCAAAGACCAAAAGACTACTTCTCATTTTTGGACTTCCCCAACTTTCTGCAACCTTTTCTTTGGAACTTTTTTCCCCTTGGAAAATACACTAAAAAAAACCAGGGAGTAATTGGCATTTTGCCGATTTATAGACAGGAAAAACAATCACCCAGTCACACGTGTGAAACATTATTGGTAGCTAAAGCTATAAAAAGGATTTTTGGTTAGTGCCACATAAAATACACCTACTTTTAATGAGAGAAAGAAAAACAATCAATGAGAAGTGAAATTCAGACTCAAAATTTTTGGGATCTCAAATGAATTAATCATATGTTTCTATTTTGTGCTATTCATACAAATTATCATAATTCATTTGAATATTTAAGATTGTATTACGAAGAAGTGTATGTTATGACAGGATAGAATAGCCATACCATACCCATAGAAAGAAACAGTGACAAGAGGTTGTTTACAAACGCCATCTTCATGCACAGTAGATTTGCCGTTCCCCTCACATGCATCGATATTTTCTGACTGATCTGGGTCCAACTTCCTGTATTAAGAATGTTAGTTTTCATGAAAGACCTAGATTTTAGATTTACCCAGACTTAGTTTAATAAGACATGTTGGATAGTGATGTCATGTCATCATGACGTCACTACCTATCGCCTCTCACCGATGGTCATCATCCATCAACGAGGCATTCGCCATTCTTGCTCCTGCTTGCTTGTGATCATGTTCTGTATTTGTGCCTGTTGAATATTTGCATTTTCTAATAAAATGCCTTAGTCTCAATCCAGTGTTATGTTCTTGCGTGCAACCACCCTTCCAACCTAAACTAAGACAGACTGTTAAGGAAGGATAAAAGAGGAAACAAAACTTGATACTAATGAAGAAAAAAAAATAAAAATATGAGATTATGAGACAAGATAACACTCGTCGTAAGAAATCATGGGATAAGGTATCTAGGAGATATATTTAAAATTGAACCTCCAATATTGAAAGTAGCTACCAGAGTTACCACATCATTTAGAAAATGATTTTCCCTGACATTTCCCTTATTGCCTGGACATATTTTGATAAAATTCCCTGACAATTGAAGATATGCCAGATGGATAACAAAAGCAAATTTAGAAATAGTTTTCAGGCAAACTTTGTTGCTTGAAACGTTGAACTCATTCTAGAAAGCAAATGAAGGTGACTTAAAAATTTTCCCCTGACGCTTTCATCACTTTTCCTGACATGTCCAGGTATCCCCTGATTTTTCCAATTTTCCTGTCATTTCCTGATTTTCCCAGAATTCCCTGTCTGTGGCAGCTCTGGGTAACGTTGGGTACCTCTGAGGTATCCATAAATTCAAAGACCAATTTTGTAAGTACTAAAAATTGTTTGACAAATTCTCTTTGGGGCTAAGTTTTGTCAGAAAAACTAGCAAACATAATTATGTTTACAATGAGTCTCATCTGCGCTTAAGTCAAGAAATGGCCTGGGGCCTTCAAATTTTTCGTAACAAGTGCTAAATAAAAACGCTAACATCTTGGTTAGGAGATTTTTGTTGCATTAATCGTGTTCTCCGTAAAATTTTGAAGAGGAGACATGTATGAGCATACTGAAATTCGTTCCCTGCACTTCATTGACAACAAAAAAAGAAGGAAGAAGTAAACTGTAGAAAAGAAAGAAAAACAGAATGTATTAATGTATTCTAAAAAGAAAAAAAAACCCAGGCAGCATGCAACCATAAAACTTAATCTTTTGATTTTTAAACATATATTTTACTCACTTTGACGCAGAAACTTGAGTTGGGTCATTCCTTCCGAGGAGCTGTGATTGTTCATCAGATTTTGGTGAGACTTCAGAGGAAAATACTGGTTGCCCATTTCCATTCTCTTCTGAGGTGATTGAGGATACATCCAAAGTGAAGTTCCCATGGGGCCGCTCGAAACTAGGAGCAGAGGAATTGCTCTCCATCGTTTCTGTCGAAGTTGATTGATCCGTCAAACTTCCCTCATCATCGCGTAAGGAGAATTTAGGAGGATTTGAGTTTGAGGAGAACAACACTCCACCTGACTGTTTTAAACTTCCCCTTATCGTTTCACATACTTTCTCCACAAAAGATGAGTCCTTAGATGCTGATCCTTTGTCAGGACTGGATGTGACGGGCGGCTGAAAGGTGATCGGTAATTGTGGCTGTTTTAATGACGATGTCGGTTGCTTTGACATGGATGTTAGCTGTTTTAGCGATTCACTTAAGCGAATTGAGTCGCCATACCAAGGAGGAGGACTGCGATGGGAGGTTGAACTCGAGTTCATTGATTCAGTGCGAGTGCTTTGATTTAAAACACCAACAATATTGTTTATAACGTCTGTGTACTTGTCGGCAACATTGCAATAGTAATCTATTAATTGCTCCGTCTGTCCACGCTCTGCTGGCTCCTGCAGGGACGAATGGACGATAAAATTTTGGGGTGTTACTGAGGAGACATCCTTCTTTTTAGATTCTTGACTTTGAGACAGTCTCCGGATGTCATCATGCCAGTCAGAATTGTCTTGGCTTTGAGATGTTTGATGACTTTCATTGCTTTGGTCTGAATCCTCGTGATCATGCTCATCTGCCGGTGATAAAATAGCTTGTCTGTTTGGAGGAGGTTGGGAATCTTGTGTTTCGGATAGTTGTGCTGAATGAGGAGGAATTTTACAGCTTTGGAAATTTAATAGCTCGTCTAACTGACGAAGAAACTGTTGCAGTTTTGTTACTTTAACTGGTCCTGCCTTTTTTTCTGCTCCTGATGGTTTGGAGAGAGTGTCTTCTAACTGCGGTAATAATTCTAGTAAAAAGAAGAATTCGGGTAGTTTTGATGACCCACCTGAATCAGGGAGGCCGAAGTACGATTTGAATGCCTTGATCACATCGGGTGAAATATCCAGGGATTTTGAAGCCTTATCTACATTAGATGGGATACCTCTTTCTTTCGATACATTGCTCACATTGCGCAAAGCATCTCGCTGATTTGGATCCTTGCCTTTATCATCTTGCCGTTTAGATGCCTTACTTGTTACACTTTTTGTTCTGCAAGCTCCATCTGAACCAAATGAAGACTCCTGTGTTTCAGATTCTTGATCAGAGTCAACGAGAACAACTTCTGGTTTAGAGGTCTTATCAGGCTCATGTGAGGTGTGTTTTGTTTTCCATGCCTTCAGACTATCACCACTTTGAACTTGCTTGTCTTGCTTTTTGGGGTATCCTCCTTCCTGAGCATAGCTGAGATTGATATTTTCACAACACTTTGTCATCTTCCTTATTGCCCTGTGGAGAATTTCATGATTTTCATCCACGACCCTGTCCGGGGGACTCATGTAAGATGTCACTGAGCCTGATCCACTGTGAGCTTGACGGGATTTTGGTAGTTTTGGTTTCTCTGGTTTTTTCAGTTTTTTCTTTTTAACTTGGACAGGTTTTCCGAGTTTGGTGGTTTTAACTGTATGCCTTTGCCCTTTCAGTTTGACTACTACTTTGACACCCTCTACTGTTGTTTCGGAGGAATTGTTACTATCTATCATTGATCTTGAAACAGACATGTATGTCAATGACGAGGAATTACTCACAGATTCTGTGACAGTTGTTGAGTGATCTGCACAAGAATGCTGAAGATATTTTTTACAACTGCTGCAAAAATCGTTTTCCTCTTTGGTATTTTTCTTCACTCGTCCTACATCCAGGAAAGGACTTTCAGCACCTACAAAAAGAGAAAGAAATTGATAAATTCAGAGAATTTTTTTTTTTTTTTTAAATACAAATTTTGACTGTTGTTATGATTGGTTTTATTTAAAAGTTACCTACAAAAAAAGGGGATTTTAAAATGTAGAAACAAATTTGAAAAAAAATAAGGAGGTCAAGAACTTTTTGCATCCCTGGTAAAGCATCCTTTTTTGTCTGGTAGTAGGTAGCACTTTCGGTCATCTTGAGCTTAGCACAAGACAAAGTGATCGTAACCAATTTACTCGAACTTGTAATGATGACTCAAAATATTGTCACTCGATCAAACTAAGCACATTGCTCCTAATTAAAAGAGTTACAGTAAGTTTAGATTACAGAGGGCTCACATTCTTACAGTACATTATAACTGTCAACTTCTTTTCAACAGAAAAACTTTGTCAATCATCAACTTGAAGTAGATGTAAACAAAAACCGTAGATGTTTTAGAGAGAAAAAAATTGAAGATGAAAAAATAACACATCACATTCATTATTTTCATTTTTGTTAACACCTATCTTGGGAACCATTAAATTTTTGCGTTAATAATTTAGTTTTAATACTTGCCTTGAGATAGTGTAAGGCAAAAGAGCTTTTACGGTGGAAACTCAAATTGTTCAGTACACTAAACAAACTCAGTTGGGATGAAGAATATAAATTTTCAGTTTTTTAAACTGATCGCTTTGTAATTCTCTTGGGGATACTGGATTAAAATTTCAAGCCATGGTATGAATTGATGTCATAAACAATTGAAAAAAATCGTTCCTAAAATTAGCAACAACGGTAGCAAACTTCATGTTTGTTTTTCTCAAATTCGCAATTTAGCATACTTCAACTTTGAACTGCTCTCAAAGGGTCAACATTAAGAATTTTTGGGTGTTCTTGTAACAAATGATGCAAGTGTTTGTAACCCCTTCAGACTGTGATGTGCTAATTTAATTTAATTTTGTTTCAATCCAAAGAGACTTTTTGTCTGGATTAATTACACACTAGGGCCTGGCCGCTCCGCGGTCCAACCCCCCAGAGGAGCTTCGCGCCTCTAATTAGCAGATATCGTGAGATCATTAAAAGATCATTAAGAGTTAGGGAAAACCCGGTTTGGAGACAGCGGGAAGCATGTGAGCGTGCGCGGCGGGAGCGGAGCAGGGAGTGGAGGAGAAACCGGTTTGTGACATGATTAGCGTTACACCCTCAGCATGACACGGCACCCTTATGATTTTATACTGTAGAGTAAGATATTATGGAAAATCAGATTGATTGGATAAGGCTGCATAAAAAAGTGACGATATGTACTGGATCGATCCTGAGATTTTTGACACTTCACGAAAGGCCACAGCCAAATTTTAGACAAAAGAGAGAAGGGAGATATTTTCAACTTTGACCTTCATAAGTGAAACGTTTGTCCTTAAAGTTCAGCTGCGAAGCAATGTCTTCAAACACACGAAAGCCAGCAATTGGGGATAGGCAGAGCTAGCTGGAATCTGGCCATTAATAGACTTTCCTACTTTAAGTATGAAAATAAAATGAAATTCATACCGTTTTGGTTTATGATCGAGAGACCCCTACCACATGCGGAGTCTGAGGAGAAACTTTGATTGGCACCGTGCTCAGAGTAAGCTGTTTGAGAAGCTTGGTTGATAGTCCGCTCTACAAACTGTTTATTCTGATTGACCCAGCAAGAATAATTTTCATATCTTTTACGGGGTTTTCCAGTTGTTTCAGTCCGAGCAGTTGGCTGAATATTTTGCTGCAAAGGGGGAAAAAAAAACCTAATGAAATAGAAAAATTTGAAAACTAAAACAGCATTGAACACATACTGGTGAAATGCTTCAGCATGCGCACATTCATCTTAGCAGGGGCCAACCCTGAATGTTCCTTCTACTGAACTAAGGAGTGAACCATTGAAACGTAGTAACTATCAAGATTGCACATTAATAAAAAAATATTTTGAGAGTTAAGTATTAGAGCTCTTTTTTGTCATTTCAATTAGACACTGTTTCCAGAGCAATGAACGCAATTTTATGATGTTTGTGCTTACGCGATGCAAAATTTCCTTTAACATTATTGTTGAAAGTTCATTGCAGGCTCTCCGCGTAATAGAATGGCATCATGCTAAAGTAACGCATTTTTTGTTGGTAAAAGACTGGTAAAAAACTGATTTTTAATCACTAATCTTTGCTAAATTATGTTGAATTTGTGTTGATCTTCGGAATCATTTTCTTTCGATTCATTGTAATAACTTCCAAACACATGTGGAATGGCTTCATGGGATTACATACAACAAAATAGAAAAAACCATGGTTGCCAAAAATAGATTACAGGTGCTTAAGCGTGCTGTTATTCAAATTGAGAAAAAAATTAATATTTTATGATGAGAATGGGTAAGCCTATGCAATTGAAAATACAACCCACTACATTCGTAAAGCATTACAACAATTTCATGACATTTTGTACATTTGATGAAGCTGAATTATCTTGCAAATTAACTGTAGTAATTAACTAAAATTTTACAAACATATTTAATTTTGATTTAAAAATACAAGTAGTTTTAAACAATGAGGAAATAAATACCTGAACTTGAGACAGGAGCTGATTACGTAGATATTTTTCTTGTTCTGCTAGTGAACCAAATTTTTTGACCAAACGATGAAGATCTTTATTCATGCCAGGGCTCGTTTCCGCACTTTTGACACTCTCTTCCAAGATTCTTGCAGCATTACTCAATTGTTCATACTATAAGTGAGAATGGCGATTGAATTATAATTTTGAAACACAAATTCAGTTTCAAAGGTAATTGAATACGAGAGGAGTGTAGCAAGCCAATTTTAGAGTTTGTATTGATTAGGGGCTTTCATTTTCCACTCGTTCCAGATATTTGAAAATTTTCCAATGAGAAAGTAGAGATACAATTTTTGATGCAGATCTGATGTCTTCGACAATTTGACTTCATATTCACACTCTCATACCTCGAATGTCTATTTGAAATTGTCATATGATGCTTGCAACTTTTTCTAACTTCATCTGATACTTTGAAAATTGGTTGATATTAATACAATAAAAAGCCACTCTCCCACTAAAAGCATAACGAATTTGCTTAAAGAAGAGGTATCGATAAGGACCGTTCGTGGACCTACCCTCAATTTCTTCATCTCTACGATTTTTGCTCATTGAAGGTCTACACCTTGTAGAGTGCATCATGATTTTGTCACTTTCCGGCCAAAGTATCACAAGCGCCATGCGACGTTTAAAAATTTCCGCCGCCATTTTATTTTTTTATGTAGAAATTGTTCGTTGAATCTGATTGAAAATTTCACTGCATTTTATCGGCAGCACAAAAAAAAACCTCAGTGAAATTTTCAAACAGATTCAAACAACAATTTTTCTTTTTAAAAAAAATGTTTGATTGAGCCTAACTGCTAAAAAATCACCTTTTTTTTGGCAAGATCTAGACCACTAGTTGAGATGCCACTTGAACAGCCTCGTTGGAAGGAATGGATGACTCTCCGAGGCTTCTTAGAAGATGATTCTTTCCTAGGTTTTTTTGTGACAGAGGATGAACCTACTTGGACAGGAGGAGTCCAAGATTTATGAGAGATGTTGCTAGGCCCTTGATCTCTGGAAATTGAAAAACAATAATAAATACCATTTTCTTAAAAGTTTGTGGACACATTTCTTTTTTTAAGCGAACTGGTTGACAAGAAAAGAAATAATCATGAGGTATACACACAGGCATAACAGGAGGTATAACAAGAAATAAATCATGACACACCATTCCATAAGTGCACTGATTTTTTCATAAATTCACTGATACTGCTTCGTTTAGGGGAAGATACTACTACTGTGAGTATGCCCATTTCACCATCTTAACTACACCACTGGCTGTTTTCTAAAAATCAGACCAGATATTTCTAACTTTGTATATACATAGGTAAATAGGGGCACCTTAATCAATAAATCATCATAAAGACTGAAAGCCCCATTTTTTGAGACACTTTGAGACACCAGAGTTCTGGTTTTAAAAAATACGAATGAGCGTTGGCAGCAGTCAAAAGTCATTCAGATTAACTGGAGATACTGAAAACATGGAATTAGACTGACAGTTTTTAAGCACAGGGTCTGATAACTGTTTGATTGACTTTATAGGAAGTAACTCTATAAAAAGTAACTGCAAAGCTATAGCAAAATCCTTTTTTAAATATTTCAGTTCCCCCACATAAAAACAAAACAAAACAAAAAAATTATACCTTTGACCAGTGATGATACGTTTTCTTTTCTGTGGAGAGGGCTGTCCTACACCCTGTGTACGGCTTTCTTGTCCTGTTGTGTCTTTGTTATTCAAATCAACTGTTGATAGTGACTCTGCGTTTATTGGAGACGTTTGACATTTCTTGTTACTTATGTTTAAAGTTTTGCTAACAGATTTTTCCAATCTTTTCTTGGGACTAATCCTGCAAGAGTGTAAGTGAAAAAAGTAACAATGAAATGGGTAGAACAAAAAAATGACACAAACACAAAAAGACAAAAAATAATAGGTGAAAAAACAAAATAAAAACCAAAATATTAATGCACGGTTGCAACTGTCTTCGTCATTTCTAGAGAAATAGACTGAACAGAATACGCATCATAGAATAAGCTTCATCAAAAGGTGAATCAAACGAAACAGGAAAGCGCTTCTTACAAATAAGACTACAGGATTCTATGTAGGCATGTTTACATGAAAAATAATAGCTCTGTATTAGTGATTCTATTAATTTTTCTTTAAAAAGAGATGTTGATGTTAAACATGACATTTTGGTGAAGAAATACTAGGCAACTCAGTTTTTTTTGGGCAGCAGCTTTAGTTTCAAAAACAGGTTGAATGTTCAGTTTCACAACTTTAACTTCTGTTTTCCATTAGCATAGATTATTGTAGCCGGGAGGTTCTGTTTTCCATCAGCATAGGTTATTGCAGCCTGGAGGCTTTCCATAAATTTAGAATTTTCAAATGCCTTAGCTTTATCTACTTCTGCTTGTAAGACAAGGGGTAGTGTAATGGGGATCATGACATCAACTCAAACATGCTTGAAAACAGATGGATGCATGCAAAGCTTACAGCCTGCTTTGCTGCAAGACTCTCTTAAAAGCTCCAACGCTTCCAGCCTTTCTGTCATAGCACTAACAAAAGCTGCTTGCTGAGAGTCTATGCACTACTCATGAAATCCTCAAACTTTTACCCTTGAATTGCCAGAATTTTCTCTTTGAACTCCCACAGTTTTTCCACAAAACCCCAGACTCTTTTCAGTCACTGAAAATTCTCTAACTTCGCCTATTCCAATCATTAAAATTTTCTTGACTTTCACTGTTTTCTAGTTTGCCGGAAAACTTGAGCCTCCAAACATCCCGTTCCCAATAAATAATGCAACTTCAGGAAGTCAATACAGCTCAAAATATTTTTGACTCATTTTAGCTAAAGTTTTGTACTCTTTTCCCTGAAATCAAAATTTATCACAATTACAGGTGATTGTGAGTGCCAATCATTGGAACTTTTGAACAAATATTTAAAATATCTTCTTAATTATAGTTATTTGTAGTGAGTAAGCTACAGGCCACAGTTCTTGAGGGAGACTAGAACCTGCAAATTACACATGAGTATGATACCTTTTGCTAGATTGTTTTGGATGCGGTAAGGTTGAAACAAGACTAGAGCGGAGATCTTCTACAGTTTTCTTAAAATGCTTGGCTTTTTCGGCTTTCAATTTTTCTGATTCTTGATGAAGAGAGGTTTTGCGAACCAAGTCCATCGCTTCCTTCCCCCGCTGTTCTGCCACTTTGGCAAGTCTTTCTCTCCTCTCTTTCATAATTGCTTGCATTTCTCGCTAAAACACAGAAAAACAGTGAAGATGGTCCTATTTAAAGTTTCATGACAAAACATAAGCAAAAATTCATCTCTGACTCATTAACGTCAGACAGCTTACTAAGTAAGTGCATGACACATTACAACAGACAATGCTCCAGCATTCTTTCTCTCTCAGTTCTCATGGAATAAAATACAGGAAGGACTTGCTCAAAATGTTCTGTGGCATGAAATTTATTGATTAAATACTTCTGAAAATTAATTTAAGAGAAGGAAATGAAAATATTAAAAGTACACAGGGTGATGCACATAGGCGGCATATTTCTAACAGAAAGCTGGTTTTATCCAAGAGTTGGAGATCTGCTCTTCAGATTGCCAGAGTATACAGTAACTTTTTGATAGCTTGCTAGAATAGAAAGGCTAAAGAAAAAGGAAATATCGTGAGTAATAAGCAAGCCAAGGGATAATTTTAAGCAAAAGGCCATAAAAAAAGGTTATTAATTGAAAATTTAAAATTTATGGGGTTTTCAAATCAGAGAGGGTAATTGGAAAAATTTGAGAGGGCGAAGACCTAAACACATTCCTGGAACTGAAATCACTGAATAAAAGGCATACCTTTTATTTTTTCACAAACTTTGCCTCTTTTCTATTCGATTCAGTTTAGTGCAATTAGGACAGCTTGATAAACTAAGTAAGCTTTGGACAGTTCAAAGGAAATAATATTTGATTAGATTTAACTGACATAGTAGTTGAACACAACATTACAAAATGTAGTGTTAAATGCAACGATACTACATACCTAGTTGAAACTTTCAAGCTTTCATCTGCGTTACATAATTATTAAGGTGAACTAGAAATAAGCAATACAATGATACCTCTTCTTGAGCTTTCTGCTCTGCGCGTTTCACTTCTTCCAAACATTCTTTGAACTGCTTCTCCAATGACTCTATCTTCTTCAACTGCCATTCTTTCAGCAATGCATCGTGTAATTTTTCTTCAGCCATTTGCCGATTTTCTTTCTCAGCGTTCACACTGGAGCGAATTCGGTTAGCAGCATCTTTCGACTGCTCACGAACCTAACCCATGAAGATTTTTTGGTGAGAATACTTGAAGGTAATTCAAAAGAGGGCAGGATTATGATCTCATTGATGGAATTTTAGACATTCCCAAATTTTGGCTGGGGGTCTAAAAAATATACTACAACTAGTATGACAGACTGTACACTTTCTAGTTTAAAAAAGGAAACTTAAAACTGACTCATGTTAAGAATACGATTTTTCAAAATAAAAACTAATTGGATTTCATTTTGAAAAATCATGCAGCGCAAGCGCGCTAATTTTAATTTTCATCTTTCTACAAAATTATCCCTTCATCCAAAATTAATGGAGACACAGGATAAAATATTTTAAAAACAATGTCAATCTCTCTGAACTCAAGTGTTTTTCATTGTAAAAATGCATATAACACAGACCAATCTGTCAGCACGGGTTAATATAATCCGATTTGGTTGAAACTTGCTGAGGACCTTTTTTGATCAAATGGATCAATTTCACAGGGTAAGACAGAAATACACTGCAAAAATATTTTGCTATATCTAATGATCGGGCCACCATGAAGCACTATCTCTGTTCACAACTGAGTTAGAACTGAGTTACAAAAGAAAGATGAGTATTGAAGGTTAAAAAGAATTTGGGCATTTTTAAACATGGGATTACCTATGTTGAATGAAATGGCCACTATTAGACATTGGTTCCCGATTCAAGCAATAAGACAGAGAGGTAGCACAAAAACTTGGACTATTCCTTAAGTTAGTAGTTCCTTAAGGAGTTCCTCAAGTTTCAAGTTATGGTGATTTCAAAAAGGAAAGAAAAATAAGCTTACGAAGGTTGAGTAGAGTTGCTTTGTCAGTTCAAGACTAAGTATATTACCTCAAAAGCAATGTTCTCAACATTATTATCCAAAACTAAGTTCATTGCACCAAAAATGGCACCCTATTTTACCTTTTCTCCGAAAAATGGTTTCCGGTGTGGTCAAACTGAAGTGAGATACATCACATCGATTTTGTCAAAAATCACACACACACACATTTGAATTTTCAGCCTAAAAAATGACGACAGCCCCTGCACATGAGCCTAGAGAATCAGTTTAAAGAGAAAAATTGGCAAATCTTGAAAAATGAAAGCAGAATTCTGTTTGGAATAAAAACCTTGAATTGGATACAGAGATCGATAGCTGTATGGAATGCGAGGTTTTTCCCAAATAGCATTCTGCTTTCATTTCTCTAGATTTTGCCAATTTTTTGGTTTAGAATGATTCTATACGCTCACATGCACAGGGATGCTTGCCTTTTCTTTGCTAAAAATTCATAATGTATAGAGAATTTTGAGAAAATGGATGCAATATATCCCACGCCAGTTCAACCACACCAGAAACCGTGACGAACCGCCTTAAACTGATCATCTAATAATTGTTAGAAAAGGCTCATTATTGATCATTTTCAGGGAATTGGAAATTTGGCAGTGAATCAGTATGTTGATTTTTTGCGATCCATCAATTAGTTCCTGGCCGCAAACGTTGGATGGTTCTCTAAAATCACTTACCTCTAGGCAGAGCTTCACTGAGGCCGAATTTTGTCAGCTTTATCACACGAAGTGCAACAGCCATCGATGAGTTCAAACCGCACCACCAGCCAATCAGAAGCACCAAGCCGGACTTAAGTGCAGTCGAGACCCCTCCTATGTATATTTAAGTGCGGTGGAAGGACCGACAAAATTTGGCCCCAGGTCTTAAATACAACTCTGATGATAATAATTGATAAGTTCTTTGATACTTTTGCTTAACAAGTGGTACCAAGCACTCATTACTATAGAAATCTGCATCTATAACTTAAAAAGATAAATGCCTACTGGAGAAACTAAATACTTGGTTGTATCACTTCACAGCAAATGATTTTCATACTCAAACCGTGGGATGCATGAGTGACAAACCTTCAGCCGTTCAAAATTCATAGAGGTTTCCAACCCTGATGTAAAGGAGGAGATATTGAAAATCTTACTTGTTTGATTCGCATTTGCCTTCTTCGGTTGTATTCATCTTTCTTCGCAGCTTCCACATCTTTCAGAAGAATACTGCTGCTACCGATTGGATGAATTGTTACATGAACAGACATTATTAACCAAACACATATTAGAAAAGATTTCCCAAAATCTCACAGAGGTGTAACTGATAAAAGATGGCCATGATGGCAAATGAAAAATCCTAAATTATGCTAAAATTGCAATCCAAAGAGTGTTATGATTTCTTCAAAAACTTAACTGACAGCTAATCAGCTAATCTTGCTTTGCTTGTCAGATTGTTGTCAGTTACGAATTTCTAACCTCCTTTTANTGGTGGAGCAGGTGGAACAGTTTTTGGAGGGAAGACAACCAAAACATAAACTTCTTCTTCTTCTCTTTCAACGCTCACCGCTCACCACAAACCGAAAACACTCAACATTATGCGTTTTTCCTCTCGCCTTCATACGCGAGATACTTTTACAGATGTAACACCATACCTGTGGCAGGAAATGATGAATGATGGCACTCCTGTCTGATCTCACTTTGATCAAAAAAGTGCGGCCCGTCAAAATTTGATGGTAGATGGTGACCACCAGTCATCAGCATGTCTACTTTGATCGGAATTGGTTCGGAATTTGATCGTCTATAAAGGCCTCTACATTTCCTCCTTGTTTGGATTTGGTGTGTGATTCCAGTTAGGTCACTTATGTTCGTGGACAATGGTGGGTCGGAGTCAGTGACTTACTTGCACGATTTTCTCTCTTTTTCGGCTGGAATCCCATATTAAGCGCTCCGCGATGGGTAATCACAACACACATCCAGATAATTCCAAACGATCTCTCTCCAGGAACAGCTCCAGCGTCGATATTCAGGAGAAGTCTCAACTCCTGCCCATTGAAAAGTTGGCCAAAGTAAGTAGGCTGTAGCCTTAAGCATTCACCTTGAAATCAGACTATACTCAGCCTTAGTTTTACTTTTAAAGACTACTGGCATGTAAGTTGCAGCTTTGTAATGTCATGGCTGCCAAGAGGATTTTGAATCGCAACTTCAGTTTGCTTACTTCATTATGGCAACTCTCACCAATGACGGACGCTGTACATTTTGGTACATCCGATTACCTTAGATACACAGCCAAAGAACAATACCATTGTTATGCTTTACCTCATATTGTTACTGGGGTTCCATACCTCATTGTTATGAATCAATTTCTCAACGAGAACCTCAGGAGTTATTGAGCTTTTGACCACCATTGAACATCATTAGTCCGCTGAGAAGTTCGTTCTCGATTATATAGACAAAACAGTTTTTCTGTCCATTTAGGTATGCATCTTTGAGAAGATGCCAGTTGATTTTATTATTTACTTTAACCATCATCTAGGTATACCTCAGTATTTCTATCGACCTATTTAAGAGTAATCATTTTTATCTAGAACTGCACTTATTATCATCATTCCAATTAGCTGGCCATGATGTTAACTTGATCAGTAAAAACTGTTAGTCTATGGTCCTGTTAGTATGCGCCACAGTTAAGTTTTCTGAACGATCCTTTCTTTTGGGCAACCAAAAGGTGTAGATCAGCTGTCTCTCCGGTTGATGAGGGATCAAGGATTCATAATGCTTATTTTCTGTTCCTAGTGCAGATATCACTGGTTAACCAAGAAGTGCTCAAAGAATTAGATACTTTTCCTTTACCTGGGTAACCCTCTTTTTGATCAAAAGATTAGTGAAGCGCATCTATTGTCACAGTCAAGGAAGCAACTTAGTACGGGGACTATTGTCGAGTTCACTTCAGCAGAGATTAGAAACTATTATGAACCCCTAAATGCATCCTTGCTATCTATGCATTCCAGAAAATTGAATGAGGGGAACCCTTTAGTGAAGTTTGACTACTTCCTGTTGTGTAGTGGTTGTGGCTCTATGATTGGGAGGTCGCGAGTTTGATTCCAGGCCAGGTGACCGGAGTTTGATGGTCTTAAATAACGATCACCTGGTGTTGGCTTCATTAGGGGCTGAGGGGATTGGGACGCTAATTTTAAGCATGGAATCATCCCCTCAGGGGTATTTGGAAAAAAAAAACCCTTATCCTTCTCCGGTTGACTTACTTTTTATCATTAATCTAATGGTGTCTGACTAATTTTGCCTTTTTTCTTTCTTATTTTAGCTACTGGCTAACAAAAGTCTCACGGAGGATGCTATCGAAGGAATTGGCGCAAGTGCATTTAAGGTACGATTTGATCCTAATGAAAGGAAACAATGCCAGTTTTTTATCTTGATTTATTTCTGTCCTACGGAGAAGATAAATCTTCAAAGTCTTGAAGTGTTGATACTAAGCTCCTTTCTTTTTAAAAAAGACCGAATGACAGAAAGCCTGCAATCAGGGTGTCTACAAGTCTGGCAATAGTACTAATTTTTTAAGGGGGTCCGAAAGTACTGGAAAAGTGCAGAAATTCCGCAAGAGGTCCAGAATTTTTTTCATTGTTGTCTCAATTTGAGCAAGAAATTCAAATGTTTGAAATTTTTTGAATTTCATCAACTGGAAGTACTGCAAAAGTACTGAATTTTTCTGCTTAGAAGGCACTGAATGTTTTGGGAATGTACTGAAAAATAAGTAGTGTAAAAGTACTGATTTTTGGCCAGCCTGTTTTAGTAGACACTCTGGCAATGTCTCAAACCAAGATCGAAAGGTTTGGAAGTTACACCGTCAATACCTCATCAATACTAATACTTGATTTAGCTAAAACATAATTCTGGGCCAATAAATTATTCGGCCCAACTTTTTACATCAAACAATCGATCATAAATTAATATACTCAAAAGAGAAGTGCTTGACTTGAGTGGATAGAGAGTGCATGTAGGAGCTGAGTTCTCTCCTGTAACAGCCCTAGATGCTGAGTTTCAGTTGCCTCAAATGTGACTGACATCAAAATTGAAGTTAATAAAGCTCATCACAGTCTATCCACCCAGAACAATCTAGAGCGGAAGCTCCTGGGGAAATGGATAAAAACTTTAGAGCACTGTGTTGGCCCTATGAGGACAAGCCTGCAGAGGGCCAATTATTTAAATTTATATACAAAGAAGACAAAAAGGATATGGAGTGATCTTATTGGTGGAAGCAGGTTGTTGTGGTGGACACAGGTCGTAGTTAATAGACTAACTAACGGCAACCCACGAGAGACCCAATAATTAGTCCATCATTTACCCCCTTAGTCTATTAGAACCACCCATTTCAACAATAGGATCGCCCTATGCTCCTTATATCTTCTTTGTCTAAAAATTTCAATAATCAGCCCGCTGGAGTTGAAGTCCTTGCTCGCAGGACTTGGAAAACTTGGAGCTTGGTTTAAGACCATGCAATATGTGCGAAATTGTTGTATCATTAGAACTTGTCTGCACAAAGAAGATTCATGGTCAAGATTCTTCTTTGCCCCCACCTCCTGTCGTATAACTACCTTTCATGCGGGGTGTCCTCATTTCCCGCAGCTCTTGAAACTCATCAAAATGTTTGGAAACGGCATTCAGTATGAAGATTTTTGGTAAATTTTTTTTTTTAACCCACAGAGATATCTATTTCCCAACTACCCAGAATTATCAAGACGTTTGTTCTCGTTCCTTGCGGTCAACGCAGGCTTACCTGGAAGCTCACATGTAATTAGTCCGAACCAGTTCAAACTTCAGAGTGAAAAACTCCTGGGAATTCTAGCCGAAGAAGAACAAGTATTGATGTATGTTCGGGTGAGCATATTTTACTCAAATTTCACTTTTATTTTTTACGTTTTTGTTTTATATATTTATACCCAACAATAATCTTGTGATTTTTAATCGAAATGATAATCATTCAGGGCAAAATGTTTAGAATTAAATGTCCAATTGATGTAACTGCTGATTTCGGCAATAACCCAGTCTGAGGTTTTCTTCACATTTTCTTTTATTTTACAGACAAATATTTTTTAGAGATTACGGTGCTTTTATTGCCAAAAGAACATTTGTTTGTATCAAAGGAGAGATCTCGGAAAACATTCCAAGTTTTTTTTTTCTTTTTAAATTTTGATTTGATGCTGCGTGTACATTATGCATGTCAAATTTTATAGAATTTAATGGAGGTCAACGTTCTATGTTGGCACTGATGAAATGAAGTGATCAAGGATGTAATTCTCATGATACCGTTAAAAAAAGAGATTTTGATCAGTCAAACAAATTTTCTCCAATTCTCTCTAATCACTTCAGTGCTCTATCTAGGCCTGGTCTGATTTTTTTAAAAAATTTCTCCATCCATCCATGAATGAGTGTTTAATTCCATTGTTGGATCATTCTCCTGGATATTTCTAAATTCTCTTTATCTCGTAGTTAATTTATTTTTCCTGGATGTTTCTAAATTCTCTTTATCTCTGATTTTCTTTTCAGATGTTTGCTGACAACAGTGATGAGATAACACCAGAACAGTTTAGAGACTTACTGTTCATAATTTACAAAATTGCAATGGATCACTACGCTGAAGGACCGCAGTCCTGTCGTCAGACATTTAAAACAATCCAAGCTGTAGTTGATTCTGCCGTAAGCCTCTATTATCGTAATCTATATTGTTTATTCTCAAATAAATTGTTTTACATTTAAAACTCATCCGTTTTCACATAGTAAGTTGACCAATACCAAAGTTTTCTTCTATCTATCACAGTTAATGTTTAATTTTTATCTTGTTTTTTAAAATGATTTCATTAGATTTTTACAAATTGAATCACTGTCTCTGCTTTTTTCTCCTCTTTTTTTCTGTCAAAGTATGGATTTAATATTTGTTCATATTAATTGATGATTTTTTTGAGTTCTCATAGCCTATTACAGTTTTACATCATCCGGTCAATGCATCCATTACCTGATGTGGTAACAGTTCGTTTTATATTCTATCGAAATTGGTTTTAGCAAAAAAACTGCTTTCTCTTAAAGAGGGAAAATATGTAGATTTCAAGAAACAGTGATTCGTTTTGGTTTGTTAGTCGGCTGAATTTTCATCTTGAGTACTTGCAATAGTATTAGTTTGATCCTGGTTGTCCGAACGCTCCCTTTGAAAATCTTTGTAGGTTGATTCTGTTATTTTAACCAAACCATAACGCTGGTGGCTTCATCCAAAAATGTATACATAATCTCCTCTTTTCTGAAATGTCTCTATTTTGGAAACCTCCTATTAACTTGAAACAAGCTTTTTCAGAAATTTTTAGATCTTGCATTTTGGACAAGCAGGGAGTGCAACTAGTTCACTGGGATTCTCCTGAATTTCCTGAATGATATTATGTAGGAACAATGAGTGCCAAGTTGCGTATTTTGAACCTTCATTGGAACGGGTATCGCTGGAAAAAGAGATAAGGTGCCCCAAAATATCTGTTCTACCTCAGGCACGCTTTCGACCGTACAACCCTTTTGCTGTGGTTCATAATCTGTGCATTATTTATCATCGCAGGGCCTCACAGACCATGAATTAAAACCTAGGGGTTGTGTAATCAAAAGTGTGCTCAAGGCGGGATATATATTATCCTTGAGATAAGCAAATAAGCAGGAGCTCATAATACGCGACTTTAAACTCAGTTTTTCTGGGTCAATATTGTTGAAAAATGCCAGGAAATTTCTGTGAACGAAGTACTTTTCCCTTCTTTTAAAAATGCAATAATTAAATAATACTGAACAAGCGAATTTACTTTCTAATGATCATTACCAATGGACTTCGTTTTGTAACAAGGAATCACTATTTTCGGCTCATCCATTGAAGAACGTAACTACACGGAAAGTCTAATGTCACATACGTTGTAGCATAAATGAATCAGAAAAAGTGGCTTTGTATCGCCAAATTCAGTCCAAATCTAGCAAAGAGTGAAAGAACTCTAGGCTGGTGTCATTTTAGTATCCGAATGCCGAAATGAGGTTCAGATAAGTTGGCAGTTGTGTTCTTTCCGTTTGTTAGCAACTGTGCTTCCACCATCCAATAGCGAACGAGGATTGATTGGGCAACATCAACGCTGTGCTGCTGATACCAAAAACCAATGCCTTCCTTTGAGGTGACATTGCCAGATTCTCCTCAGAAGTAAACAACTGCCAACTTATAGGATGAGATTTCTGAAAGGAATGATATGTGCAGGATGGATTACATATTTTCTAAGTTCTTTCAAGTTATGTCGTGGAAGATCCTTTCACAATAATTTACAACATCTACCATTTTCTTTAAAACCTTGCATACTTTTCACTTCTCTATTGATTCATATAATGACTAGGATCAGAGATAAAATCTCAACATCAGCAGAATAAAGTGTTACTACAGGGAAAAGAAAAAATAACATTAAACATATGAACATGCAAAGAGTTCTCTCATGCAAAGTGCCTCTCAGAGGAAACCAAATCAGTCGCTATTTCTTTCTTTACTCCTGAGTATGTTTTGATATTGCTTCGAATGCTAAAATGAGCAATACAGTTGCATGCTTCTTGCAACATGCAGGAGCAATTAAAGTATTTTGATATCATTTTCAGTTACTACAATTGCATATCAGTTATTTTACAGTTTTCTTCATCATTTCAATTGACTCACAGCTTACAAGTGGTTTTCTACAGTACCATTTAGTCGCACCCCATGTAATGGAACATTTTTCAAATGTTTAGCCTAAGTTCTGCCCTTTGAAATAAATCACAATGAAACATGTTCCCTCATCAAAGTTTATTTATTTGATTTTTTTGCCAAGCAAGAATTTTGATTTTCCGAACTTCCCAAACGGCTTAATTCTCATCTATGAGTTAAAATTAGATGCTCCCGTGAAACTTTGATGAAAAAATGTGTATCATGATGTATGGTTTCTGAATTTTCACAGTGGTCTAATATTCATGGTTTTATGCACTTCAACTTTCTTTCAAAAGTAACTTTTGTGTCGTAGGTTTTTTTTTGTTTTTCCCCCCTAATATCATCATTAAGTATTGCATGGGACAAATCTACAAATTCCGATGCCTTTGTTTTTTCAGGAGAAAAATTCCTCCAAAACATCCACTCATTTTAAACCATTCAAATCTTCAGCTGTAATTTTCTTTCTTCAATGACAAGCAACTTAAATGTTTTTGAGCCTCTTTGTCTGATGTTTGTTTTATTTTGATTTGTTTCTTCCCTTTCAGTTCCACAAAAAAAATGTTGTTGGCGTCAACTACATGACCACCTGGCTCCTTGGAAACTGCCCAAGATTAGTAATTTTGTTACATCGCTACATCGTCCACATTTTGTCTACTTCTTACCGTATATTAGTAGAGAAACAAGCCACTGATAAACCTCCCGTAAGTTTTTTGATAATCTTGTAGCAATGTAAGAATGAGGAATCTTGTTCAGTCATTTTGTTCCTAATTTGCTATCGGTAGTGATGCACCTTCAGGTTTCAGTGTTTAGTTATCTATTTTGAATATCACATCATAGATTTTAGAACTTCAAAAATAGACTAGGTAAAATGTCCGCTTGTGAACAATCAAAGAGAGTAGGTCAGTGGTAGGGGTCAGAACGTTGCAACTTTTTGTTTCATTTTTAAAACTCCCCAGTGAGCTAAGACTGAAAGGATTCTTGGCTTTGAAATCAGATAAGTGTCTCAGGAGTTATGACAATTTACGTCAATGTGTCGAAATGCTTCAGTTTTAATGAAGCAACCTCTCTCCGTTATCCCTCATGAGAAAAAAATTGTGAAAAATGCTCTAAACTTAGTGCATTGAATACTTTAACATGAAGCAATAAAAGTCTGTCGTGCTACTGACCCATCAGAAATTAAATAAATAATGAAGGAGACTATGAGGGGGGTGCCAAAGTTTTCTCTGTTCCACTTTTTCATGGGTGTGCTGTGAGGGAAAAAAACTTTCCAATTACCCGACCTGACACTCTAATTTAATGTCTGAAATGGACCGTGAGACATGGTGCGAATTTAATCATCATGATGTATCTGATCAAAATTTCTCATAGACCATGATTTGTATGATGAGAATTATTGAAAGTAACTCCTAACCAAAATATTAACGTCTCTCGATGCCTAAATTTAAACTTTCCACTCATAAAAAAATCACAATACACCTAAGTACTATTGCACATTAAACGTTGCGTTGACACTCTCAGAGGTATGAAAATATGACAACCGCAATCTCGTTTCAGGAGCTCAGATATTGCACATTGTTAGAATAACATAGGACAAGGAGAGAACACTGCTTGATTGAGAAGTCTGCCAAAACCGTTGTAGTGGGCGTTTTGATTCTAGTAGACCTGTGTTTTCTATGTGAGTGGGAAATTCGTATTTGTCGTAGCCCATGTTAAATAAAAATGTTAATATTTCAGTCGGAATTTGATTTCAGGAATTTTTGTTGTGCAAATCGTGTTCTGCGTGAAATTTTGAGGAGAAAACTTGTATCAGGACGCTTAAATTTGTAACTTGTAACTAGTGGTCAGTCATTGAGAGAAATAAAGAATTAAATTGAATATCAGCAGTCTGTGTTTTATATGTTTCTAGAGAATGAATTATTAAGTGAGAAATGTTGCGAGGTATGTACTTTGAAGTAGTTAAATGTGCAAGCTGCCTTCAGGTATGAGTTTTTGCTTTCTGGTGTGCAACTGGTCTTTTCATTTTAACAATGTCAATCTAAAATCTATCTGGTCTCCATTGTAACTGCCTTTTAACGAATTCTATGATGCCTTGAATTTAATTGCTCAGTGGCATAACATTTCTGCAGAGTATCTAACAACTGTTCCAAAGGTAAAATCAAAGGAAAATATAACAAATATAAATAAAATGAAGTAAAAAGTCCTTGAAAAGTTTAAAAAACACTTTTCAGGGGAGAAGAAGCGGATAAAAGCTTTGCCAACTAGAAGCTGACAGCTAGGATGACGTTACTAAGCCATCTCTTCAGCTGGGCTTTAGCCAATCAGTGAATACAGACTCTCTCGCCTGCCATTGTCATATCAGCAGCTTGATTCTTGAAACTTCAACTGGCTATGTCAGCAAGATAAGACAAGACATAGCCCTATCTGAGCCGTGTAATAGATCGATTTTCGATTCTTGTCGTGCCGAAATACATTTCAACAATCAGGCTGCAGACTGCCAAAAATGTTGTTTCAGATGGGCCCAGATTTTGGCGATTTCACAATCAATTTTTTTTGTCAATGGGCCTGTTGCAAACTTTTGCTAGAGCAAAACTAAGAGTTGTTTCATATAGATAATGCCTCAAAAATCACGATGAGCGCATCGGCAAACTCTGAAATGCACTCATAACTTCACATTCTGCGTAAGAAATTTGCGGTTTTTTGAGCTTCCCGCTTCAAAAACGATACTACGGCACAGGTGAACATTTTGTAAGAGGAGTCGTTCCATCGTCGGGAATAATCATCATAGCCGACGCCAATCCGCCAAAACACGTTTGATGGGACGAGATAACACCTGAACTGGATTAGACCAGATAACAATCGGTGTGTTAACGTTCATATTTTCCACGCCCGAATTGATTGACCTTGAACTCTCCTTGAATTACGCGCGGAACTGCGTGCAAGCGTCGGCCATGATTAATATCACCGACGATGGAGCGACTCCTCTAACAAAATGTTCACCTATGCCGTAGTATCGTTTTTGAAGCGGGAAGCTTAAAAAAACGCAAATTTCTTACGCAGATTGTGAAGTTATGAGTGCATTTCAGACTTTGCCGATGCGCTCATCGTGATTTTTGAGGCATTATCTACAAGAAACAACTCTTATTTTTGCTCTAGCAAAAGTTTGCAACAGGCCCATTTAAGTGAAAAAAAAAAATATGCGCTTCTGACCCACAATGAACAAGTGTATAAGCCGTGAGCTCTGATTCATAAGGTTATATGTTTAGTTTCTGTGCGAAATTGAAAAATTCTCACTCCTCCAACTTTAAACCAAATGAGCAAATTTAATTGATTGAGCTGACCTCTCTCTTTATATTTTCTCTCATTGTGCTTTTTTCCCTTTTTTTTTCAGGAACTAGAATTAACAACACCTGTGCTTGAAAAGTCATCTCCATTAGACGAAACGCCACAACCACTCTTACCCTTGTCGCAAGTGTGGCTTTTGACAACAACTTTACCACCTCTGTACACTCGACCCACCTTGACCTCACCTTCAATAAATACTTCCTTCTCTGCTCAAAACTTCCTTGCAAAATTCGTAAGTCTGCCATAAGGAAACCTATTATTTTAACTGTTGTGTTTATTTTTCATTAATCTATGAGTGTCTGCCTTTAAATCATTATTCTAAGGACGAAGCTGAACCAGTGTTGCAAATTTGGACTTCAATTTCATACTATTCAGCCATATCTAAGGATGGCTAAAGTTTGATTCTTACAATAAACACCATCCTTGGCTATGACTAAAAATTCTAAGATACCCGTAAGTGTGATTTTGAGACTTCGTGTTTCAAAAATAATTGGAGTTTGTTCTTTTTTACCATTCTCGCTTTTGTTAATACGTTAATGTATAAACTGAATAACTTCATGAGCTTCTTCAAGTGAGAGGGAGGTGCACTATTCTTCTAAGAAAAAATCAAGTGCCACTGATTTTGAAAGATGATTCTTCTGGAAGCAGTCATATATTTTACCCCAATCAGCTGACAAAGAATTGGGAAGATCACAAATTGTTTGCTGGTCTCATCTGAGTATAGTCGTATTTTGCTTGAGGTAACAGCTGGAACTTGTTTCGGAAACATTTTTTGTGTTACTTTTTCTCAATCAAAGCAATCAATGAGAGAACAGTCAAGCAAAGTGAGGTTAGAAACTCCGTAGCAATTTCTGAAACCTGCTCAGAGGATGTTCTGATTGTTGCGCATTAAAATGTTACGTCATTGCCACATGGTACAAAAAATGTTTTCAATTAAAGAAGCCCTGCCCTCCAACTTTCGGTAACACTCAAATATAAAACAAAATAGAAATGTTCTGCACTTTTGTGAAACAATTACGATTGTTACATCAAACCAAATACGGCTTTTGAATTGCTTTTTTCTTTTGTCGTGTTTGCCCTTGATTTGTACGGTGGTTGAGACATTTCAGAAAGAATCAATCAAAAATATAGTCTGCATGAGAGAAATTTTTGGAATTTGGCAACATAAGCAATAGCTGAAGTCCTGAGAAGTGAGGAAAGTCAACATGATTTTCATTTTCATATGTGCTTAATTGCAGTTGGATTTTTCTTGCCCATCGCACTGGACTATACTGTACAACAGTTCTCAACATGGCCTTGGTGCCAATAGGTAATCTCTACCTCTAAAATTATTTTTTTTAGTCTAACACAATTCAGTGAACACAGAAGATTTATACCAGTTCAGGTCTAAAGTGTTCCTGAAAATAACCCTCTTTTTAGCAGATCAACATATTGATGGCTAACAAACAGTACTGCCCATCTGCAAACTGACAATTTTGCAGAACAAAGAGAAAACTTCGTCATTTTTGTAATTTCAAGGTAAAATTTTTATTCATTCATACACTACAGTATCATTGAAGCGCTCCCCTATGGAATTGGAAAAAACTAAAATCAGCAGCTTGCGTATTTTATACTGTAGAATGCGACAAAGTCGCTAACTCATTTTTGTCAAAATTGTCATTGGTATTGTTTGTTAGCCCTCGATATTTTTCCATGGAACTGAAGGCACGGATGGGTACTCTGATTTCCGTGTGCTTCAATCCTTGAGTACGGTTCCTTGAAGTTTGATTTTTGCCTCCAATCAAAAAGAAGTCTAGAAAATTCATCTCATACCCTGTTCTCTCAATGAAGTATAAAGAGAAAAAAAAAAACAGCTTCTATCAGATGAATGAACAAATTTCAATTTTATCGAAGTACTACAATATTTCTTAGAAGTTTTTAGGCTTCTCAAATAGTTTTTTTTGTTTCTATGACTTCCTTCCCTCCCCTCCCCCCCCCAAAAAAAAATTTATTAATATCTCCGTGGATACTGTTTGAAACCTCAAAGTTGTTGGCTAGACAAGTCATAAGTAAGCTGATCTCATATGTAGTGGATATTAATGAGCGGTACGGTCTGTCAATCATTAAGATTAGAAGAGAACTTTTTTATCAGAATCATAGAAAGTGTAGGAAGTTTTTCATCAAATATGAAGATGCTTCAAATTAATTCTCCATCCTTTTTAATCAAGTTGAACCGAGAGATGAGTAATCAAGCACTGTCATTATAAAGACAGCAATTGTAACTGAAAGCTCAAAAAATGAGGCCTCGCTTTTTATTTATTGTCAGAGACTTAGGCATGTAGCATAGCTATGGCTTGCTTTTCTTATGATAAAATTATGCTCATTTTCCAGTTACTTCATTTCAGTGATTCTTAGAAATATGTTTTAGGTTCCTACATCATACGTTAAGTTACCGCGGTCCCACGCTCACTTTTATTCGCGGAGAGAATGACCTAGAGCTCTGCTGTGGCGCCACTGATGAATGGAGAGAGTCACATGTTTACTGGGGCCGTGAAGAATGCATTTGCCTGCAGATTTTACCTCTTTTCAAAGTTTTGGATCGTAAGTTCAATTTTTTTCTCTGTATTAATTATAAAACTTTGACAAATGAGGCTTTCTTATAGTAAAGGTGTGGACATTTTCACCAAGGATAACTTTCTCAGTATCAATTGTAAGTTTGATTAGATATCAGGATGAAGATATTGTTGATCCTTTACCTAACTACAAAATCCAATTACAAAACGAATTCAATAATTCTTTAGGGTGCCACTCTACAGGAACTGAAAAAAAATTTCAGTAATTTATAAGACACCTCTCATTATTTTGCGTAGAAAATATTAGGTCTAGTTTTGTATTGCAGGAGCTCTTTCAGCCAGATTTTTTTGGGTGTAGCTTTGAAGCAGACAACACACCAAGGTTTATGATTTGTGTCTTGCAATTAGTTACATTTTTTCCCCCAATACAATCGAACTTCTGTGATCTGGATCAATGAGGATCGGACTACATCTGGTTCCTGAAGTATCCAAATTTTGTGGAATCAGGTTGATGGAACACCGTAAAATTCAATTTGTTACAGATATGCGGCAAACTAATAGTATGACAGGGCTTGAAGGATGACTCATATCATCTACTTTGAAAGAAACCGGTATTGGATAGTTGCACTGTAGTGTTTTAGAGTATTTTCTGAGAGCAAAACCACTACTTTTCTTTTGCCGACAGCCAAATCCTTGTTTCTCTTCAGCCGTAATAGTTGAATTAGACATATCTTAGCTAAAAAAAACTATGTGCATAAAATTTGCTTGCAACCTACCTCCTTTTAGCATAAATACGTCCGATGCAAGTACATGCCTATTACTGAAAGGGTCATAACATGGCAGTTTATAAGTTCTTAACCGGTCTGGATAACCGGAGGTCTGGACGATGAAAGCGTGCAGAACTAGAGTTTTACTATGGTTTATAACGTCAGAACTGTAGGATGGTCTTCTGTATTTTTGATTTTAACAATTATCATTTTAGATGATCTAGAGCATTGCATTGCCCTCGACTCTTCTAATCTGTTTTAATTTTCGCAGCGTGCAGGTTTTTCCTCTTAAACTTTTTTCCTTTCGTCTCATGCTGAATACCTTGGAATAGAGTCTCATTCAGTGAAATGTAAAACCGTGCAAAACTCAATTAAATAAGTTGTCTAAATTACTGTTATTAAGACCTAAAAAATTCTGATTCAGAGAGGAATTTTTTTCTCTGAGGAAATGGATAAGGGATAGTCAAACCTTTGACTTGGATCATTTATCAAACTCTCAGAACATAGCTGTGCAGGACTCGCATTAGATAAGTTGACAGTTGTTCTCTTTCCTTTTGCAAGCGATGCAATGCTGCCGGCCAATAGCAATTAAGGATTAACTGGAGGTAACAACTCTACTGAGTTGCCATTGTGCCTAGATATTTGAAACCAATACATGCCTCTGAAGGCGTGTTGCTAAAACTATCTATTGCATATGACAATCAAAAGTAAAGAACTGCCAACTTATCTGATGCAGGTTACACTGCATTTTATTTTTAACCATTGCCTGAGCGATTCTGGATTTAAAACTTTTCGGGTGTGCAGAGGAGGATTGCACAAAAGCCAAGTGGACAAATTTTTAAACTCACATCTTTCCCACTGGAAACAGCGTCCATTTTTTTTTCATAGGGCAAAAAGTGCAATCAAAAGTAGAAAGGGTCATCAGGGAGGTTGGGAGGAAATGGTTTATAAATTGATGAAGGAGAAGCCCTCTATCCTAAAGCACCTTTTAAAAACCAATCATCTGGAATATATGTGAATTTTTTAAAAATATTTAATTTAATAAATTATGTGGATCTGCCTCATTTCACTCTCGTTATTGTTCTTGCAGAAGGAGGCTGGAGAGTTAAACTTTTAAGCTAATAAATACTTTCTTGCTTGCAGGTGGTCCCAAGCTGATGTACCTGAACACATCGATCAGGGGTTATCCATTAGGTCTTAGAGCAGGTAAAGACACCCGCAAGCCTTGCATAGAAGTTAATAATTCCTTTGACCAAGTCATGTTCAACGGTGTGCCATTCAGGCTGCACAGCGTGGAAGTCTGGGGCTGCGGTACACCCCAATCAAGGTGAGTGTTACAAATTCTGGGATAAATTTTCTTCTTCCTTCTCTCTTCCACAATCTTGAGTTCTCAGTGTGCTCTCAATTGATCCTTAAAACGCACTCATCTTGTTTTTATTAAATTTATCCTTATTCAGATAATGCCTGACATCGATGCTCTGGTAGAACTCAAGGTCCTTGGATTCATTAGGCAGTTGAGTGCTGTTTCGATTTCGTGAGGCACTTTCTTTTGTGAATCTTAATTGATGTGCATTTTAGCATTCGATTCGGGGTTAACAAAAAAAAATGAGGGATTAAAAATAGTAAGGAGCTGTAAATAGTCCTGCTGTAATAGCAATAGCTGTAATAGTTATGAAGTTGCCTGGTTTATATTTTCAATTCCATCCTGACCAGAATGTTTCAAATTATATTGGCTACAGCTTGACAACGGGAAGCTGACAACTCGGAAATTGTATATTTGCATCTCACAGCAATTGGATAGTTTGGTGCTGCCTTTAATTCAACTTTGCTCTTCAATTCTAATAAGTAGTTTGTTTGCCACAGCTTTTGCAACACTTATTTTCCTTGAAAATAATTCATAGGATTCTCAAGAGAATCAGGGAATTTTGCGGAGAGTGCATCAGCATAGTAACATCAGCTGGTGCCTTCGGAGAGGAAGTGAACCATTTTTGTGTGCCTTTTTCCATAGTTTGAATGTCTAAAAATGAAAGTTTTTACTAAATTTAGCAAAAATTAGCTTATCAAGTAAAAAATTAAGTGAAAGTTTTGTTTGAAAATGAGGGAAAAGTCCGACAATTCAAAAAATGCAAAGTCAGGGAAAAGTAGAATAGGTAAGAGAAAGTCAGGAAATTTAGAAATGAAGACACTGAGGCACTGAGCGGGATAAAACCACTTCTCACTTATAGTATTTTAGAATCTCTGCTAATATTTTTTGATTGATTGTAAGGAAAGTGGATCCATGTATTCCATTGAAATTGGCTTTGAATATTTTCATGGTTCTATAATGTCCTACAGAAAAAATTCGGGGGAAATCACCCATACTCTAATACGCTAGTTAGCAATGGAAATTCTGAATTGCAGCCAAGAAGTTTCTCAGAACCATCACCTTAATTATGAAAATCCTGATTTAGTACCTTAAAATTACCTGAATAACGAAGGAGGACCATTGTAGGCACCCTGATACAAACTGAGTTTAAAAGAGATGCGGGGAGTCGCCTTTTGGAAAAAAGTTAGTCATGAGTATTTCTGAATTCAACCAATCGTAATTATTTTCTCTTAAAAATTCCAAGTTGAGAAAAAATAGTTTGAAAGTTAAAATTGTCCTCGCATTTAGGTCTTACGGAGTTTTAAAACTTCAAACCTCTTTTTCTCGGTTCAAACTCAAGGCGACGCTTTGTGTTCCTGTCAAATTCGGTCCATATGACCCATTCATGATGATTTATCAATATGTGTTAGAGTATTTCTTTTTTTCTTATGTCAAATCTTTTATATCCCAGAGAAATTCAACTGGATATCAAACAATGGCAACTGAAGCAAGTTGAAAAGCAGCGTCAAGTCAAAATGAGCTCAAAAGATTGGCTGGATCACCCCGACAGATATCTACTTGAAATGGCTGGCAGACAAAATTACACACCTAGCTAATCAAGAATGGACACCAAGTATTGTAATTTCATCCTAATGCTTTTCCATTAATCCTTTTTTTTGTCCTGCACTCTCGCCTTAACCAATTTTAAGAAGACAGATGGATTCAGCTGTTGTATCAATTTCTTGCAGACGAACTTAGTAATTATTTTAAACCTAAGTGGTGTTTAAATGTAATTTCAGGATGAGAAATAAAGGACAATCTTTTATTTCTTTGGATTTGAAATTTGAGTTTTTTGACAAGCGTATAATTTTAACGTGAGGACTCTCAATGCATTGCCTTGATTCGTAGTTATCTACTGACCTTTTGCATTAAACGAAATGATACTAAAGCTTCACATGGGTCAGTAACCTGCTCTCTTTTTTTTTTGCAATACTGGTAATGATTTTCCATCTCACATGAAGAGACATGTGGCGCAGTGTGCTCGAAATGATGCAGAAAGTTGCATTGTCCTCATAGATCCTCAGGAGCACCTGCGCACTGTGAAAAGCGGAGGAAACATTCCCCGTAAAAATGATGATCTCAGTAACGAAAGATAGGAATTTTTGGATTCTTAGCTGTCAGTAAAGCTGTGTACTGTTTCAAGCCTAGCTTGAAGATCAGGAAGAGACCTAATCTTTGTGGATATTAAATTAAATGGAATTATAGAAGAAGTAAAATGACATAAATCTTTAAGGTGTATGACTCAATATGCATTCTCTAAGATGAAAAAACAAGTTTCATGAATCAACTTTTAACCAATAAAAAGTGCTTTTCATTTATGTTCACATGACGCTTCAGTTAAAAAGTTGTTAAGTTTTTCGTAAAAGCAAAAGCTCCAAATGCGTTGTTTAGATCTGAATAAAGGCAGTGGCAATAGTGAAGCAAGTTGATAAAATTCTGAAATTTCAAGTGAGTGCACCATGTTGACATATTTGTAAAAATCAAACTGGTCGAAAATTTGGTGGAAATGAATCGGTTCAATTGTACATGAATTTGACTTGAAATATCTAGATTTCTCCTTTTGAAAAAACACCATTTTTGGCACCTTATCAAGTAAAATATAAGTCAAGTTAAAGAAGGAGGTTCTTTTAATTTATTAAGATCCTCTTCAGTCTTCACGTGCTCTAACAAAGATCCTTGCCTCTATCCTTGATCCCAAAAAAATTTCTTTTAAGTGTAATTAAAAAACTGAATGTAGACCATTTCCTCTGTTCTGTGAGTATTTTTTAGTATTTGTGTTTACTTCTGACACCAGAAGTAAGCTAATTTTAAATTTCTGTTTTAACCTTTGCAACCGTAGTTGCTGTTGAGTTGCTAATTGACGAACTGGCCCTTAAGTCTTTTTGAGCGTCATGACCAATTCAATTGGGAACAGAGCTTCTCTAGTGACAGAAAAAAAGTTATTGGTCATGCAGTGGCGATAGTCTGGTGGTGACAGTAACAGACTGTCGCCATTGAATCGAAGATGTTACCATTGAATTGTTCTGTTCAATAAAAACAAAACTTAGTAGGGTTTTTGAACAGATAAATTATGGTGTTGTTTTAAATTGGCTTTTGCTATCACTTAATCACAATCGTAATCTGTATTCATCACCTGAATTAAAGTTCCAGACATTTTTGTGGCGCAGGAAATTGTATGGTGCAATTTTATTTTTCTGGGAGGGAGAGAGGCAGTAGAGTGAAATTTTTGTGCGTATAAATTTTCAGGGATCATAGAACAATGAATGGATTTAACGGTCCTGTTCATAAAATATGTAACACTAAATTTTAGATATTTTAACCTCCCCCTTCCCCCCTAATGCTTTTGTGACATAGGTCCCTACCCCTTAACATGTTAAAAAATATGGTGTTATACTTTTTTTGAACCGCCTAGAGAGTTGCGTTCTTTACGTAAGGCCCCACATTGAGATGAATTCTCGGATTGTTTGCCCGAAGCTTTAATTCTTCAAAATTCTGAGTTACAATCATTGGCTAATTTGTTTATCAAATTGTTTTTGAGATGAGCATCCTAAAATCTCTCAACAATTTCAACAATCTCTGTGTAGTATTCAATATTCTTTTTCATTTATTAAATAAAAATTTCAGAGTAGCTAATGCTTATTTGTGAGGACTAAATTAAGCTTAAACAGATAATCTATTTTGTTTAATAATGTCTTTGAAATCAAGATTGAATATATGATAAAATATGACAAATATGCCAATATTATGCGGACAAGTGAATGTTTTTACTGTGAGCTCTTCAAATAAGAAAAGCTTATCAACCAAAACATTAAAAAAAAAAACATTTTAAGAAGAAAAGCAAGCTCCTCTCAATTTATAATGCTAGTATGTACTGATTATGGTGCCAAGAAATAACTATTTTGAAAATGAATTTATTGTTAAGTATTTTAGCAAAACTTTTCACGCCGACAAATTTTAAACTTTTTATTGTAGAAGAAAATTTAACACTTCGGAAGCTTAGCTAGCAAATTTCCTTTACATTCTTCCACAAACCAGAAGTGGAAAATACACTTTTGCACATTATCAAGGACCTTTATTTGGATTCAGTTGTGCCAATTTTATTGAAGAACCTGAGTCCAGCTTTGTAATTTTATTCAGTTTCTTCAATCTGGGACTTTCTGAAATTTTGTGATAAGAGAAAAAAGGTCATCATACAATGCCTTATTTCATTGTAATTAGCTTAATTTTTTTAGCATGATTTTATTTTATGTAATGCAACCCCACATTAGAAGTTTGCTTTGAGACGGATTGATATTTTTATTTAAATTTGGAATTATTATTGAACAAAGGAGTCTTTTTTGGAATATAAAATATGCTGGGGAATGAAGTAAAAACTTGATATTTCTGAGTAGAAGTAGTATTTTTTTGGTGTCTCTCTAGACACAATTACCAAACTAATATCATATTTATTGTAAATTCTTCCTTTGTAATATTTTTTTTAACTAATTTATAATTTCTATTTATATTTCCACTACTCAAAATTTTGGTATTTGATTAATTGGTAAGAACCCATTTTATTGTCTGTATTTGAGAGCGGAATTATTGCTGAGTATCTCAATAACATCCTGTCGTTCAGTAATGATTTCAAGTATAGGAGCAAATGAAGTGTGTAAGAATAATTGGATAGAATTTATCCAAACGGTCAAATCTACGTAGTGGTATTTCAAAATCTCATCTCCTTTTTTAATTTTTCGGAAAGAAACCAACCAAAATCCCCACTTAAAAATTGCTGAATTTACCTTGCCCTCACAAAGGTTATTCCCACTAATAATTTGAAAATATTGGTTAGTTTCCTCCAAAAAAGTTAAAGAGGAGGTAAGATTTTTGTAGCCCTGTAATAAAGGTCTAACCGTGTTTTGCTTAGAATCCAGGACAAATAAGTTTACCCATTTTGAGACTGCGACAGATGATCCGCCATCTTGCTTCATGCATTTACTTTACATGTAAAAGTGACGTCAAATGATCTTCTGTGGCAGTCAAGAAGTGTTAAACTTATTTAACACTGACTCCAACCCTAACCAATTCATTCAACAAGATTTATAATGACTATGTAAACAGTAATTTGTTTTGCCACCAATTTTACTCCTAGCAACTTCAACCTACCTTGAGAATCCAGTTTGGCGTATCTGTCCATGTGTATCTGTTTTTGTATATATCACTATGTCTCAATTATTACTAATTCTAGTTAATTTAAAGAGTCTAGTTATTTTTTTAAGTGAATTACTAGGATTTATTTTTTTTATATATATTTATTTATATATATATCTGAGTTGTATGCTATATAGAGAATTTTAGTCATTTTTCAATTTTGAAGTGTCATTTAAGAAGCTTTTGCACATTGTTCCCAGTCGAGGCGAAAGCATGATGAAATCAAGCAGTCAGTACTTGTTAGGTGTACAAGAGCTTGTTTGTACTAATTTTGCTCCATACATATGGATGAGACTTCGTTCTTTTCATGGTTTCTTATCTTGTCCCTTTTACTCATCACGCTGGCAGTGGAGGTGCATTTCAGCGAACATAAGCACTGTTAGACACCTGCAACTGTCATGTCCCCAAATTTCAATCCTGCTGTTTTTATGGACTGAAGTCAAAAATGAGCGATAGTTTAAACTTGAATTAGAAAACATGTTTTGAGATATTTTGTGGAGTCTGGAGATCATAACTTGTAGATGAAAAGAATTATCATTCCACTCCCTGATGTTCATCAGTCACTCAACAGCACCTGACACCATTGTCACTGTGTTAATCTGATCATGATAAGAAAAGTACAGTTGGCTCCTAATTTTATGTTTATTCCTGACCTATGTAGAAATTTTTATCTATCTCAGCGTTTATGTTTTTCAATCTTTTCAGATTTTTTCAGTTTGAATAATTCTTTGCTTTGATGGCAAGAAGGACCAACTTTTTGATCTTTTCCCTGTTCATTGATAGCAATCTTTCTCTTAAATTTTTGTTTTCCAGCAGTTTCTTAAATCTGTTAGCGCCCTCTGGCAAATCTTCAGGTTGGTCCAGGAATGTCTTTAGAATTAAGGTTTTTTAAGTTTTTAAAAATTAAATACAACATTAAATATCCGTAGACTTTGCAGTGCTAACTTTTCTTTTTTATTTTATTTATTTATTGAGGCTTTTAGTGTGTTACTTGATGCCCAAATGTACTCCGCTTTTTAATTTTTAAATAGGGTAATCTCAAATCTAAAGTGGGTACTCTCTGCTTTTCTGAAGTGGAAAAACGATTAACCAACCAAAATAAGTATTATATGAAATGCATCCCAAATCAGGATCAAAAGAGATGTCATTAGTTTAATCATTTTTTAAAATTTACAAATGTACAATTGCAAGAAAGTTATTGGTAAAGTTCAATTGCGAATTTTTAATGAACATATACACATAAATCGGCCGATGTTTAAACAAAAAACGTCCATTATTTGATGAACCTTTTAATAAGATCATTCTGGTGAAGCCACAAACTGACCAGCAAATGAACTTATAAGGTTTTTCATGAACAGATTAATGTCAAGTTAAAGCATTGTTGCCATATACTTCAGAAAAATCAGCATTTTAAGCGAAATCAAAATATAATATCCTAATTTTATTGCACATCCTGGTAACCTAGATTTAATGACATAAAAAAATTGGTAAGGGCAGTGAATCGCTAGATACTGACCAAATTTCAGACTTAAAATTGCTGAATTAGTCATTTGGATGATCCAGAGTCATCTGCATTTTTGTTATAGAGTGAATTAACAGTCACTGTGTACTGGAGCGCCACTGAAGTCAATCCTTGATCGGTGGTTTTCTGTTCCCTGAGCAATGAGACCAAGCTAAGACTGTTTTCGCAGTTTTTGACACAGCGGCCCACTGAAAAATTGTCGGCTGGAGTGTTTTTTTTTTGGAATTTATTCATTTAACCAATCATTACTCTTGTGGATTTTGAAGAATAATGTTGACCAGCATCAGATTACGGTACTCAAGGTTCTTATGTAATCAAGTTTTACCTGAACTAGCTTATGTGGCATCGCCAGTCACCGCACACCAATCTAAGCGGATAAAACAGCTTCCAAAAGTGACTTCGGCGGCACTCCAGTACGAAGCGCCTAAAATGTACTCTGATTGTATTGCGATGATGTGTGAGAGTTCCCATGATGGTCATAGGTTAGCCTTTTTTACCTTGACATTCTTTCCATTATTTTCTACGTTTTTAGTTTTTTCTCCCAAAACTTTGTTACATTTTTTTACAGTCCAAGTTTATGGCATTGTACCATTAAGTCAGAATGGTTGTACTTAACTCATCTTCCAAAAGCCAAGCCAAAGGATATAGATGGAGATAGATATGTGGAGAAGTTTCAAGCAACCCTCCATTTGTAACATTATCTCTATTTTCATTTAACTATGGAGTTGAATCCGTCCTTAATCATCCTTCCCAATCATTAAAAGGGTTTAGTCTAAGAGCATGAAACTTACAAATGGATTATTTAAGTACTTAGTGACGAAGATATGAAACTGTTAAAAAGTTGAGGATTAAGCTGCATTTAAAGATTAAGAAAAAGTAAAAATAACATGTATTCAATCAAAGAGGGTGATAATACTTCAACCTTCAATTTATTTTATTTTTCTCCGTTTTTTATCTATTGGTTTTCTGAATTACTATATTTGTGAAATTGTCAGAAGAATCCAATGTATGTTTTTGCTTTTTTTTAAAAAAAAAATTAAATAAAATGACTCAACTTGAATTTTGAATCTGTGTCCTAATTTCTTAGAGAGATAACACGAGGTCCTTCGTGTTTTTTGCTTTAATTTTGTTTAAAGAATCGTTTGACCTGCAGTGCGCTACTAGTGGCTTTTCTGATTTTAAAACCCTTTTAAGCAGGAAAGAGGAAAAGGGACATTTATATGGAAGGTTTTGTTGTGGCTTTTTTTTCTTTTTTTTTTTTCTTGATGCCTCACATAATTTAACCATGATTAATTAGCAAGGAGATCACAGACTTTTCCTCCATCATTGTATGTAGCCATCGGTGAGTCATCTCTAACACCTGTGCACTCAATCGTTCAGAGTAGCTGAGAATAGCTGTGTATGCAAAGATAAAGTATGCAAATAATAATTTGCTACTCGGGCATATACATTTGGCTTCGAAAGAATGTTGAAGAGCCCCTCCCCTAAGAAACTGATAAAAGTAAAAATTCACATGCATGTGTTAGGAACATTAGGATAGGAGCAACACAGCAAAAAATATATTGAGCACTGATTTTGCATTTTTTAAAAGCTAAATACAGTTGTATCTCGTTATAAAGGTATTTGACGGGGAACCAAAAGTAGAATGTTGTTTCGGAGAAAGTGGTATCTCAAGCAAAACTTTAATGAGCAGTGGCCGTCAGGGAGTTGGAAAAAATGAAAGTTATTTCCGGGAGAACATAATTTTGAGGAAGATTTTAAGGAGGTATGACTGTAGTTACAAAAATCAGAATTTAACTCAAAAATTCTGTGACAAACACCTGTCAGCACTAATTGTCAGTGTCTATTACAATCTTTAACCAGTCAAATCTGTTGAACATTAACTGATCTTTGGCCAATGCAATTTAGAAAAAAATGGTAACCGACTCCAAATTATTTTATAGTTATTTTTAATTCCGGTAGCATTCTATCTCTGAGCAAAGTTTGATTCTTGTTCTTTAAGTACTTCATTGTTTCTACTCCACCATCACCGCACACTGTAACGAAACATAGGATTGCCCGGTCATGGACTTCCTCCGCAACTTCTTTCCGCTATATCCTTGGATCTTTATGGAATTTCAGGTCCAAACTATGAGTTCCCGAAGCATTTTCATCGCAGAATCTGATTTTGACCTTAGTTTGGCCGATTTTCACACGGAAATGCATGTTTTTGGGTGTTTTTATGAAGTATTGCTCAGGATAATAGGAATCAAGGTGTTTTCGTAGATTTTCTCCCCAGTTTCTCTCAACCACTTCACTCCCTTTTCCAAAATTCCAAGTTAAATTTCACATAATCTGAAGTATTTTTATCGTAGAATTCGATTTTGACCATAATTTTATCGATTCATCGACGCAAACATTACATCAGATCAACATTAAGGAAGAAGAATCGGATACAATAAAATTATGCTTTAATATATATGATTACTGTGCAGTTATTTCAAAGTGGAATAATTAGAACGTATTGAAAGAATATCTAATCATCTTATTCGCTGTCGTCCGTTCCGCCATCGTCCATCGATTCCTCTGCTTCCTCTAAATCTCTTCAAGAAGGTCCTCTTCGAAGTTGATGTCACTGTCATTATTGCTATGATAAAGGGCTAGAAGTGCAGTAGCCTTAAGAGTTTTAAGATTTTGCGATTAAGATTTTTGCGTTTTTATTGTTGTTATCAACCATATACAACTGTTTAATGTAAAACTGATTATTTGATGCATTTATCTCTTCGATTGTTTTGGATGCCAGATTCAGGTGGCATGGCAGTCATCAATAAATGGTCTAGTAACAGTTAGGATAAAGTCGCAGTGGATTAAGCGCATTTAGCAACCTGCGATATTTGCTTTCGAGAGAGACAAATTTCTCTAAGCTTATACCGAGGGGGGGGTTATAATTTAGGTATCTTGGGCAGAGGAATGCTGGTCTTAAAACCATACAATATATATGAACAATTGTACATTTTCTAATTTTTTAGGAGGGACGTCCGAACGTACGCTATTGCAGGGTGCCTTGTGCCGTCTGCAAAATTCAATAAATTTCACGAATCTGCGCTTATCTGCAGCCAAATATGGCTGGTTATCATTCTCGAAGGATTACTTGAGCACGCTATATGCTTACTTTTTCGGTGAAATGCGGTGAATTTATTGAAAGCTTGCTTAAAGTTCAATTTTCATCTTTCTGAAGCGGGTAACTTTGGACATACGTGGTAGCCTTCAGCATTCAGATAATTTAAATTGTGACCAGTGAAAAATGTTCTACAGAATCTCAAAAATAAGTTTCAAGCATCAAAATTTACATGGGTTCATCTCACAACAAAATATAAGGGTCGAATAGAGTTTGACGGAGAGAGACCCACTCGTGACGTCTGGCTTTTTCAGACGAAAATCAAAGAATTTCACAAATCTGCGCCTATCTGCAGCCAAATATGGCTGATTATCATTCTCGAAGGATTACTTGAGCACGCCATATGCTTACTTTTTCGGTGAAATGCGGTGAATTTTTTGAAAGCTTGCTTAAAGTTCAATGTCCATCTTTTTGAAGTAGGTAACTTTAGAGTTACGTGGCAGCCTTCAGATTTGACATAATTTCAATTATTACCAGTGAAAAATGTTCCTCAGAGTCTCAACAATAAGTTTCAGGCATCAAAATTTACATGCAATAACGGCACAACAAAATACAAGGGTCGAAACAATTTTGACGAAGTGTGACAATTTCAGGAACAGCGGAATCTGCCACATTTGAGGAGCTCTAGGAAAAAAATGGAGGGAAAAAATTGAAAATACATGCTAGATTCGTATAGTATGAACCCTTAGGAACACTTCATGCCCACTCCGGATCCAAAATTAGCGACACCCCCATGTCCGACCTTTTGCCCATTTCGTTACAGTGTGCACCGTTTCAAAATCATAGGTATTAAATCTTTCAAAAATTAAAATTTCAATCTATGGAAATGGTGATCTAGGTTGGAACGTGAGAGCGACTTTATTATTTCTATTTTCACTACTCTATTTTTCATGCTCTCTCTTAACAGCATATCACTTGATGGTGGTCATGAACCGGGAAAGAAAGTGATAAAAGAAAGTGAAAATTAAATTTTTACGATCAGGGTTCCTTTCTATTCATCACTGATTTAAGATGATGATTGCAACTCATTAAATGAACTATATTCACTGCACAGGTTTGACTGGTCACCATTTAAGACGAATGTCTAGAACTAAGCTAAAATTCGGGCTCATGTAATAAGTTTATTACGTAGTTTTATTCTTTTCAATGATATATTGCAAAGAGAGGTCGCCATTTACTGGGGCCCAATCAGGTTGCATGGAAGAGTCCTTAAAACTCGAACTTCTTGTGAAACAAAAATTCTCATTTCAAAGAGAATGAATTCCTCATGAGCAAAGTTTTCCCTCTTAAAAATATACTGTCAGATGTACGTATCACCACAGTCTACTAACCCGCCCGGCAAGTGGTTGCCTGAAGTAGTTGCGGAAATGTTGTCACAATGTGACTGTCAAAAATAATGTTGCGACAACGTTGCAGCAACGTTGTGGCAATGTTATTTTTGTCAGTCACATTGTGACAACATTTCCGCAACTACTTCAGGCAACCACTTGCCGGGCGGGTAAGAAGACATTCTGCAGATGTGTCTCATTGGAAGGGTATTAAGTAATGTGGAAACTTCAATTTTTAGGCCTCTAAAATTTGTTCATAAAATATATGTTTTTAGAACTATTAAAGGTCCTCGATGTTGATTTTAGAAAGCCACCATAATATTTGAATAAATCTCTGCTCTATGTTACTTAAAACATGAGGGTGGGTTTCAGGAAGTTGGAAGAAAGTTACCCTGCAATATTTACTAAGTAGTCATCAATAACAGTAAGTATTATTTGTTTTTCGAAATGCGTAACTTCTGAAGGGCAACCAGGCTTATTTTTCTCGTAAACTTCCGTAGCACGAATGTTCGAGTTTCAGCTGAAATTCTCGAAAAAAATTCAAAAAACGCGCGTTTTAAATTTTCCTGAACAGCCTTGCAATGGCAAAACAACAGTGCTCTTTGCTTGAAGGTTTTAAGTGTATCATTCCCGCGACATTAAGTCCGTGGCCTCAATTCATTGGGCTAATAAAAAAAAGACGTAAAAAATTAGAGGTCTACTGTATAATTCGAATCCTCGGAACTCCAGATTTTTCCGATGAAACAGTGAGGAAACGAAAATTATGGTTTCAGAAAAATTTGGCATCTCTGCTATAAGTTTGTTTACTTTCCACCCGTTTCCGCTGTCGCCGAGTCTGATTGTTTCCGTTTCCGGCTCGCACCGGAAATGAAATTAACCTGAAAAGAGAAGTCTTCCAAACGGAAACGGAGGTAACTTGTGTGTTCAGCGCAGCGTGTTGATCTTGACTTCTTGAGTGCTTATCACTTTCACTCACATCAGAAGAAGTAAGAACTCTTTTATCTAAAGCGATCGTGCATCATCTGGTTCCAAATATCATTCAGTTTGTGTGCATTTGTGCATTATTCACTTAATTAATTAGTTAATCACTGTTGCTGCTGTGTTCCTTGAGTCTGGTGGACGAGGTGCTGAGAGTATCAAAAGATCTCCTACTTATAACCCTGGTCGTGGTCGTTCGTCCTGCTCATAGGTCTCGCCTCAGCCAGTAGAATCTCACTAATTTTCCATGTAAGTAAGGGTTAAAACTTTATTAATTCCTATTTCGAAACGTCTAGCAAATCACGTTCAGGAGTGATTCGAAGTTCCATTGGAATCGTAATGCATCATCCATTATAAGTACCTACTTTAATCCTTGACAAGATGGAATGCAGGGAATTCTAGCTTGAAACTGTTTTTTATGCTTGTTGAATCTTTCATGACACTTATGATAGAAAGTGCGATCAATACATGTTTTTAAATAGATTTATACTGTCAGTAGGTGATGAATTCAAAATATGACATAACCTCCAAGAGGATATAGACTCAGGAATCATTGGGCATATACAGCGTTCTACTTGGCAATTGGGAGCAAAAGTCACCATTAACTTGCTGGTTGCTGGTTATGGTATCAAGCAGGTACCTACACCCAACAGCTCTTTTAACTTTTCGGCAGTGCCATGCGCAGGTGTTAAGGACAATTAGAATAGTCCAACATTATAATAGTACAACATTATAATGTTGAACTGTAGTTATCGATCAATAATCATCAATTTAAATTAATAAATCCCAAAAACAACTCACAGCCTGCGATTCTCCCACGAGCCATCATGTTTAAAAGTGCCGTTTTGTTCACATTTTTGGAAACCAAGGGGCTTGGAATGGCTTATTCATTGATTAACTTAATTGGCGCTCTAGTACTTTGAGTCTCTAGTATCGTACCTACTGTACGGTTAATAGGCAATCATGACTTCAGCTCCCTCATTTCTAAGATTCTATGTGCTGTACCTACTTACCTATTATGTTGGACGAATGGTTGAGCTTTTGAAACATAATGATCACTCAGTGACTTTAGAGTATTCGGAAGTAAATATTCATCACATTGAATTTTAATCCTACCAGATATCAGATCGCTATTCAAGCATATATATATCAATCCAGCAATCAATTTTCATTGAAAACACATTGGAAATCCCCATATTGACTGTGTAAGTCGGCAATCACATAACTCGATTTGCGACGTCGCAGACTTCCTGTCATACCAACTTAATTTTTCAAACGGAAAACCACTCAATGGCACTTCTTTAAAACTGCCATGGTTTTTCTTCTCTGTGTGAAGAAAATTCTGCAAAAACTTTAAGGAATGATGTCAATTTGTTTGCCTTAAAAAAATAACATACCCTAGTAGCAATGGCTCTTAAAAAAAATTCTACAAAAAGTTGTCAAAAAAAATGTAAAAAACTTGTAAATTTCAAGAGTTCGTAAATTTTAAGTCAAAAAAAACTCTTAAATTACTCGTTTTAGAAAATCCTTTTGGGAAATTTTTTCCCCTCATTTTTGCACGCAGGAAGTTCATTAAAGAAAAAAAAAAATTTTACTTAAAATTTATGTAAGAAAAATTACTTAAAATTTTTCTTCAATTTTAAGTAAAAAATTGCCTGACAGGGTTTCCTGATACGAATTATTCAAGAGTTCTTTTACGTAATTTTCAAGTGGTTTTGAAGTACATTTTAAGTTCTCTAAAAATTTACGTGTTTTTTACAACTTTTCTCAATATCCACTGCCATTAGGGTAGAGGCAGAGATTTTCGGACACCGCAAACGAGATATGTGATTGTGGACCCATGCCGTCGATATGTATTTTAAAATCTTAAGCTTAATTACTGGGTATTGAATCATTTCGGAGAAACCCACTGGTTTAAGGTACAGAAATCCGTTTATATTGAGAGTAAAAAGAATAATCATTTTTATCATATACTCTGTACTTTTCCTAAAATTGCAAATAAAAGCTTTGTGCCTCTTCATGCCTCATATTTTTGAAGCTGTATTTTTCTCCTTTTTGTAGCTTTCTTTTTTTGTTTCTTTCAGGAGTTCTACAGGGAATAATGAGCCCTCCTCTAGTTCTTCGAACCAACCTGAAATGAATTTTTCAAGCCATGCTGGAATGAATCCCATGTACATGCCCCAGGGGCTGTTCAATGTCCCTTTCATGCCGCCATACTACCAACCACCGCAATTTATGCCTTTCCAAAATATGATGAGCCAGCCTTTTAATCCTATGATGTACTCAATGCCTTCTCAATCCGGCCCGAGTGCATTGAAATCTGGATCTGCTTTTACCTTCAATCCTAGTAACTTTCCACCGTTCAACTTTATGTCACCTTTAAGTCAAAACCAGTCCAGAATGTCTGCCTCGCAAAGCACCCAAAATTTTATGAATCAAGAAAATATGCATCTCCCTGGAGTTGAAATTACAAACACATCCACTGAGAATAGCACTCGGGATGCTTTAAAGCCAAAAACTATTCCTTCTGCCTCTCAAAATGCTTCTTTTGCCTCCACATCTGGATGTTCACAGATGCCATCCTATAATATTGAGAAAACCTCTCGCATATCATCAACTCAGCAGTGTTCTAACGTGTCTCAGAATGCTATTGAAAGCTCAAATAAAAGAGTTAAGAGTTTGATGGGAAACGAGCATGAAGATGGTGCAGCATGGTCTATAACTAAAAGCCAAACAAAACAGAAAGAACTTGAAACTCCAGTACCAATGGATGTAGACTCATCTTTCCTTCTAAGGAAAGAAGGAGGAAGAGGTGTAAGTTCCAGTTTTTAACTTCATCAAATTCATTCAGTAAAAAAATCCCTTTTTTTTCAAATTGCATCGATTCTGTACGTTTTTTTGGACCTTCTCTACGACTCTCTTTAGTATTAAAATCAGTGACATCAAAAGTCCATTCTCGGTGAGTTGTGGTCTAATTTTGAGAAAATAGATTTGAAAGAGGCCTTGAAATGCGTCTGAGATCAATGAAGTTTAAGAGTTAGATACTTATAATAGTTTTTCTTTCCAAAAGCTAGAGTTAAGATTCTCTCGACATTTAAAATTTGTCTGCGATGAAAGTCTATATTCACGTGATCAGTCTTTATCAGCACAAGATGAGCTTCCATGCTCAAATTAACTCTTGTAAGTTTTTAACAGAGGCACAGACATTCCTCTTCATCAACTAAAATAAGAAGATTATACTTACGTAATTGCACAAAATTTTTAAATGAAAATGTTTGGTTTCCCTCCAAACCATTGAAAAAGCGTAAAAGATTTTGAAGCTTTGCAGTGTTGGAGTGATTTTTTTACTTAATTTCATCCAAGCAAAACTCTGAATTTTTCAAAAGTTTTATTTCAAATTTTTTCTCATTTGGTTTTTTTTTGGATTAGGAACATGAAACAATGCGAATAATTTTAGGCACAGTTGAAGATGTCTTGAAGTGGAGTTCAGCCAAGAAAAGTCTCAGTCCTTCAGAAATTTTAATTCAATGCATAGGTTTGTCCTGTATACTTTTTTACTCTCTCTACGTTTTGAATTGGAATGATAAATAGACAAAACCGCTAATAGTATGCATAAACTAAAGAGCCTTTGGTAAAGCACCAAAGTTTTACCATCTCAAAAGTGTCTTCCCCCAGTATTCTCAGAATGCATTCGATTTTCCAATTTTGCATCAGTCACATTAATTGATTTGTGCCCCATTTTTCAATTTCATTCTGCTTTACTATTTCTGACGTTCAGGTGTTTTTATCAAAGTGTTGAAGTCCGATACATACCAAACTCTGTTATTGGTGCGAGGGTTGAAACCTAACTCACCGAGTTTGCAGGTTGTATTTTATCCATTCGACCGAAGTTTACCTCCTGTGTCTCCGAATCAGATTGTGCTGTAAGTATTTCTTTCTATATACAGCAAACCTTATTTTTCTGGTGTGATTTCTTCTCTTCATCCACTGGTGGATCTAGCAAGTTGGCAGCACTGTTTCTCTCCATTTAAATTCATGGAAATAAATTAATTCTTGGAGGGGCCAGGTGCTCTGATAGGAATCGCTCATTCAACACAGGTTTAAACAGAGAAAAGCCAGTGTTGCCATCCTTCCGGATCTGCTTCTGTCTCATAGAGAAAAAAAAAGGAGGTGTTTTGCATCTTGAGGATTGTAGTACCCTGTGACGGAGGTCGGTACAACCTGGTCAGCAAAATCCGGAATTCGAAGTGTGAAAAACGGACCACAGTGTCCGATTTGTTTGCTAAGATCAACTCATGATATAATTTCGAACACTTTATGTAGAATGCATTTTGTCCATAAAATACATCATTTCCAAGAAAATTGATGACAAAAGTCACCGTACTAACTTGCGTCCTCAAAAAAAGTCCAAGATACCCGAAATGCAAACACCTCCTTTTTTTTTTCTATGCTCCTATCTTCATCCATGTTTTTCTCATTCTTGAATCAATTGTTACAATGTTAGGTGTCCCAAAAGTTCATTTTTAAAATAACCATCATGAATAGCCGACAAAAATCTTTTCTCAAAGGTTTTGAAATTGTGAATTAAATTTTAAGTGACCCAAAGAATCAGGAGCATTTTAAGTGCTGCAAATGACAAGTACTAGTAATGGAATGAGTTTGAAAGTTAAGAGGAATGATGTGAAGGTAAGAAATGCAGTTTATATCTCAACCTAATAAAAAGAAGAAAAATTCAATGTTTTAGCTGTCCCCTGTTTAGTGACTTCAGCTCTTAGTTTCATTGAATAAGTCAGTTTTTCTTTTACAAAACTTCACTAATTTAAAAAGGAAGAAATACTGTGCTTTTTGCCTATTTTTCTCTTTGTAAAACGTTGATTCATTTGTAATCACCCACATCAATTTACTTTCTTCTAGTTGCACTGGATGTCTGAAAGGGTCTCGCAATTTTCAAGCGTATGACTTGGAAATTTTAGATGGATGCTCTCCGTCAAAACTTGAAACAGACCTTAGGAGAGTGCTCCTATTCTCTAATCAAGTGGTTCAAGATTATCAGGACATGCGTTAATGCTTAGAATTCTGGAAAATCACGTCAATAGTTAACTGTCTGGTCACTGATACTGACTTTCTCTTAACTGTGTTATTTCAATCTTTTTTGAGACCAAGGCCTCTTTTCTGTAAGACCTCTATCTGTCAAGAATGAGGTCTTAAAAGAATCAGTATTTTATCTCAATTATAGTTCAAACTCAATAGCTATTTCTTTTTGTCGTGAAAGGTGATAGATTTTATTTTTTTTTGGTTTGTAAAATCAAGATTTTGTTCTGTGTGGTCCTTTTTTTTCATTAAACGTGTATAGTTTTTGAAAATTTAAGTATATTGTAAAATTCTCATCAAGTTTTTCAGCTACTCAATTTTTCCTACACTCCTCATTCGCAGGATTAATATTTTCTTTGTTTCTCCTCGATCGTTACCTCAGTAGATGGTTATTACCATTCAGTTTCTTGAGCACTTTTTCATTCTGAAATTCAAATTGTATTATTTTATTTTATTCTACAGTTGTAATACTCTAAATTTGTATCCCTCTCTAGACGAAGTAATTTAGGTTTTTTCAGTCTGACACTTCAAATTGTATAATTTTATTTTACTCTACAGCTGTAATATTCAAAATTTGTATCCTTCTTTGATGGAGTAATTTATTCTGCTGATAAATTCATTATTTTATTCAATTTCAAAAGAACGCCTTCCTATGTTCACTAAATAAATATACTTCCCTCTACTTGAATCAGAGTCTTATCATTCTGCAGATTCCTTTTTCATGAATATAAATTATTTGATTTCTTAGCATCGCTCTTCCCTTTTTTGGCTCGTTTACACATCTGAATTTTGTACTGGACCTTAAAAATCTGGAAATTCTGCATTTAGACACTCCCTTGTGTCTTCCTAACTATATATCGAGATAATATATCAACGGTGAAACTAAATGTATCTTGGCTCCTATTTTATTTTTTAAAAGGAGAGCAAATCAACATTATGGCTTGAATAGGGCTTTTCACAGAATATGCTCTTTATAAAGCAGAAAAATCACTGAAATTTTAGAAAAATGACGTTCAGCAGTTTTCTGTGTGGAAAATAACGTTTGATAGGAAATCTGCAATGCACAGAGAGAGATGTAAGTATTTTTGCAGTTTTGCCATCGATATTTCAATATCGGTGTACCAAAATTTTTACCTTCATGAATTTCATCGCAATTTGACTGGGCAGAAGCCGAATTTTTCAAGAACCGCAGCTGTAAACTAAGGGCCGTGGTCACAATTTGACTTGGTTCTGGGCTTAGCCATACAACGTATAAATTTTCTATGAATCAAAGCAAAACTTGCAAGAGAGATTGGGGTTGTATTTATCATCTTTTTTATATTCTTCCTCGCTTTGTTGGTATATCGGTTCGCAGTTCTCTAAAATACCTACGCATCCACCCTCATACATTAATGGTTCAGCTTTACTGTGAGGATATGTACTCAATTGTTTTAAAAAAAAGTCAACCTTAAACTGCAAGTTAAATCACAGGAATAATTTCTGGAGCAATGAAACATGAAGCAATTTAGGAGTGACAATGTTACTCCTAAATATTTTTGACACGTATTTCTTGGAATTAAATCATTTGCTCAGGCAGAGCATGTTAACTTTGTGCATTAGGTGAATCACCTCTACAACTTGATCTAACAGTAGGTATTAAACCACCACCGAGATTGTGTTAACTTTTTCATATTAATTCCATTACTTGCAAGTAATTAAGCATTTTAAAAGCTTTATGCTGGTCAATCTCTGTGCATTTGACTGACAGTTGGACTGCATTTTGCAATTTGGAACTATAAATTCTAGCCCGGTTGGAAAACAACGTATGTGCCATTGGTTTCCCTATGCACATAAGTGTTTTTCCAGAAGAGCCAGAATTTATAGTTCCAAATTGCAAAATGCAGTCCAGTTAATCCAATAATTGAATTGCGTTTTTCTTATGCAGCTAAGGCTGCTACCTAATAATTTTTATTAAAGTTGCTCAATCGTGACAACAATGTACAATAAATCCACCAACTTTCTCAGTAAAAAAACTTTTCACAACAAAACTTTAACCAAAATTTTCTGAATTTGTCATTAGCTAATCCCTAAGAACATACTCCGTTCAAGATCAAAGAAACTATCAAAAACAGGAAGAACTCAGCTAGAGGAGCTAGTCTATGGTTACAATCAGACCTCGAGTTATTATCTGAAACTCATTTTAAAGCCCAGTAAGTATTGTAATTTGCAAGAATCGCCTATGTAGAGCATCTCCAGCGGCTGAGAAAGAATTATTTTGCTGAGCACGGATGAAAACAACTATTTTGAAAGTAAGTACTTCATTGGAAATTCCATATTCACAGCATACGCGGCGGGCATTGTCTGCGGCAAAGATGTGGACCACCCGCTAAATTGAACCTTCGCGGTTATTTTTGTATTCTGCCACTAGAGAGCGCCACTTCGTGGACTGGTGTAAATAGCCAATCAGCGCTTACGTTACATTCTTCGTAGGTTTTCATTGGCTCTCGGCAGTTTTTCAGCGCAACGTTGCAATAAAGGATTTTGAGCCTGGCGAAGAGGAAAGAAATAGCTAAGCCGACGCCATTTTCTTCTTTTTTCATCACCACAACCCCTCATTGCCATCAACTGCGGTTTCATCTCGTGTAAGTATCTGTTATTTCTAGATGTTTAGCCTGCAACCAACCGATTCAATGCATTTACTTTTGCCTTTAGCTCTAATGCTATTAATGAGAGTTCTCATTGTTCATCATTCTATTTCCAAGCCACAATTTCTGTGTATCAACCACTTGTTGGAACCCAAGCACATGTCTGACTTAATCAAGAAACTCAGACCTCTTTATCATCTCTGACTGTCCCAACTGTTGCCATAATACCAAATTGTCCACACTATTTCCTGAAAATCTATCTTAAAACCGAGCACCTACTAATTTCTGTTTCATGGGAGATGAGGCATGGAACTTGTCAGCTGTAATATACCCACGGAGCATTGCTTCCATCTGACAGATTCTCTCAGTCTCATTCATATCTGTATGTCTTGCAGAGAAGTGTCCTGAAGAGATAGAAGACTTGCAGCTTGCAGTGTTCATGCAAGTGTGGCTTTGATAGGAATCATTTTTGCTCCCTTCAGCATGATTTTGAACAAGAGCACAGGCTCGTTCCGACTCAGTCTCTCTGTGTCAATTGAGTTTCATAACCACATGAGCTGCCGTGAAACAGTTTGCTTGACCGGAGGGGGTCGAATAGAAATTTTCCAGTGGCCATGTGCTGACTACTAGGTCAGTTGGTATGCGCCTTATGGGGACTAAAAGAGTGATAGCAGTTTAGAATGTCTTCGCACGGGTTGGCTGATATTGAGAGAGTGGTATCACCCTCACCAACCACATAACTGGATGAAATCTTACAGTGTGACCTGCAGCCTGATTGTTGAAATTGTTCGTTTGTCGGGACGACATAGATGACATAGGTTAAAAGGCGAAGCGTGATTGGTCGACTATGTCTTATCGCTGCTTTGTCGTGCCTATGTCGGGTTGACCTCTCGACAAGCTAATGGCACCTCTTAAGTCTCCGACAGTATGTCGATCATTCCACCTGACAAAGGCACGATAAAGCAGCGATAAGACATAGCCGACCAATCACGCTTCGCCTTTTAACCTATGTCATCTATGTCGTCCCGACAATCAAAAAATTTCAACAAACAGGCTGCAGGACCTATAGTTGATTTTACTAAGTGTCTAAAGTTAAAGAAGTTGTATGTCGACGGTGTATGTCGGCAATCACATAACTCGGTTTGCGACGTTGCAGACTTCCTGACATACTTTATTTTTTAAACGGAAAACTACTCAATGGCAATTCTTTAAGATTGCTGTGATTTTTCTTCTCTGTGCGAAGAAAATTCTGCGAAAACTTCAAGGAATGATGTCAATTTGTTTCCCTTTAGAGAAATAACATAGCAGCGGAGACTTGTAGACACCGCAAACGAGCTATGTGATTTCCAACTTACACCGTGGAATGTGTGACTGCGCTGTTGCAATCTGCCCATGTTGTATTTACCAATTGAAGACTAACCAGTATTGAGTCTTTTATTTTACCCATTCATACCAGCAGGAAATTCTTATTAGAGATTCTGAATAGTTCTCTACTCCACTAACTTATCATGGCTAAGGTGTCACTCAGGGAGAGCAGAGTGGTAGTAATTTCCTCTCCCCTCTTTGCACTCAAAATTTTCCTACCACTCCTAAGTCCGAACACTCCAGGAAATCTGCAGTCATCCTATTCAACAACATCAGTCTTTCTCTTTTCCCTCTCTGTTTGAATTATAAGTTACATACCCAGACCCCCCTAGAATCCACGCCAAACAAGTTAATACATTTTCAGACTGCGACAGAAGTCTTTAGACGTCATTTTCCCATGGAAAGTTAATGGAGGAAGCAAGACAGCCGATCTTCAGTCGCACTCGAAAAGGCGTACTGTACTGTAAACCTATGGCGTGGACTCAACCAGTAACCGACTTATTTTTCTAAACGGCCTTCGACCAAGCCAATTTGTCCACGGAGGGTAAGTTCATAGGAACGTTCTTAGGTTTTTCCCCCCAGCATATTTCAGGCGCTAGAAATCCCGAAGAATCAGCCTTGGCAGAAGGGAGCCATCAGGCTGCAATCTCCCAAAACAGCGTGCACGTGCAGATTAGAGTCCCTTTTGCAGATTTCAAGGTCTTCGAAGGGTGGCCACGAAAACTGATAACCAATCCCCCCTCCGCTCCCTCCATTCTCCTTTGATGACGTTGCCAAATAATTTTGCCGTGTCGCAGTGTGAGAGCGGGAAAGTTAATCAGAATCAATTATATTACGTCTGGCAACACTACGGTCAGACAGGTTGGAGTCTGTTCTGAGCTTTGCGCATCTCAGCGGCGCAGTGTGCTTGCGTTTCTTCGGCGGTGTCTCCTAGGCCTCTAGGCGGCTTCTTTTGATCCCCCGTCTCCGACCCACGGTTATGATCGGTTCCTCAGAGTGTTCGCCAAATACTGTTTGCTGTTATGGTATTCGCTTGTCGCCGGGTCAAAATGATTGTTCTTGTTTATTAGGCGGCCTCTAAGTGCTTAGTTCATGGAGTGATTTCTCATAACGTGTCATCCTGAAATCATTTCGAATAATTAGTCTTGATCATGTGGAGTTCAGCAAGAGCAGCGTGGTTGAATGCGGATCGTAATACCTCTGGAGCTTCGAAACTGAAAAGTGTCAGCCCCTCTTCCGCAAATTTGAAGCTTTTCACAAGTTCTGGTAAGAATTGTAGATCAAGTTGGTTGGTATTCTTAAGTATTTCTTTGCCTGTGAAATCAATCAGGCCGCATGGAGGAAAGACAGTGCCTCTTCGTTGTGTGTAAGCAGGTCTGGCCCTCAACTTACAGTCCTTTTGATTTAATCTCAATGCTGCTCAGAAACTCTTCCATTACTAACTTGTTCTGCATTCAATTTGTCTTCAACCTTTCAGTGGACAAGGTATGAGAGCAGATACCTAACTGTCCGCCCCTTCTTCTCCAATAATCCCCGCATCTCAATTGTAATGCTGCGAAGTCTTTATGGAATCCCACATATTCAGATGGAACAATGAATAGGTAGTTCAGTAGCACCATAGACATATTTCTACAGCATGACCACGGAATGAAGAAAAGATATCTAGAGCAAGACCAATCCCCACAGGTCAGTCATTCCC